CTGGGTGAGGACAGGGACCAGAATTGGGGGACTTTTGTGCAGCGCCAGAGCTGGAATCCCCTTTGGGTACCTCCCACTTCTGTGTCCCCCCACTAAGAGAGCACGTGTAAATTTAAACTATTAAAGTACATTTGGTACTTGTTAAGTTTTTAAGTTTAGGAATGGCAGATTTATCACTAATTAAACAATAATTGCATTATAGAGTACTGAAAAAATTGCTTATAATATAAACAACATCTGGTAAAGATTAAAGAGAAAAGAGTATTTCTTCCATGCTCAGATTTGTTGTAAGAGACTTGAATGTTGAGAACAAAATAGAAGCTAAAATGTAAAAGAGATCCTTAGTTTTATGTTTACCATTTTGAAAATAGAAAAGATTAAAATGGTATAAAGGAAAACACATATTTCTAAAGGTGCCTTGTTTTTCGAAGGGGCTTGGAAGGTGGCTCAGTGGTAGAGTGCTTGCCCTAGCAGGCATGAAGCCCTGGGTTCCATTTCTCAGTACCACATACACAGAAAAAGCTGGAAATGGTGCTGTGGCTCAAGTGGTAGAGTGCTAGCTCAGGGACAGTGCCCAGGCCCTAGGCTCAGCCCCAGGACTGGCAAAACACCAAACAAACCAAAAGCCAGATTCTTTTTTTTTTTTTTTGGTTGGTCATGGGGCTTGAACTCTGGGCTTGAGTGCTGTCCCTGTGCTCTTCAGCTCAAGGCAAGCGCTCTACTGCTTGAGCCACAGCGCCACTTCCGGTTTTCTAGTGGTTTATTGGAGATAACAGTCTCACGGACTTTCCTGCCCAGGCTAGCTTTGAACTGCGATCCTCAGATCTCAGCCTCCTGAGTAGCTAGGATTAAAGGCGTGGCTCCCAGCCTTGCATAGATTCTTTTTTTTGCCTCAGAGACATTTTGTTGTTGAATGCTAATTACATAAATATATATTGTATTATAAAACAATACATATAATGACTTAGCTGAGTAAAACATTAAAGTATGTTAAAATAGGCCATGGAAAGAGAATCTATTCCAAGCTTACCGAACTTCAGCTTCTCTCTTCTGCAGCTATCTTCTTGATTCTAAAGGGGGAAAATATATGTGTGTATATATATATATATATATATATATATATATACACACACACACACACACACACACACACACACACACACATTAATGAAAGGTTACAATGGAAAGGGACTTGAGAGATTTTTTTTCTGTTCCTTCAATATCTTTTTTGTAAGAGGCATTCACTTTCATCTGTGAATTACCTCAAATAATAGTATGATTTGCCTTTCTCCTGTCTCTGTCTCTCTATCTTGTCTGTCTATCTGCCTGCCTCTCTTCCCCTCCCCCTCCCCATGTCCTCACCTCTTTCAAGTGGCAAGTATTTCGTAATCATTGATGAGCAGCTAAAAATAGCAGATTAAATAAACATGAAGCAGCACTAAAGAATCCATGCTACTTGTGTAGTTTATGGTACAGAGTGACAGGCTGCCTCTCCCTCACCTCGCCTTCCTTTGTTACCAGATGCCTACATCCTAGCTTCATTGAGAGATGGGAATGAGCTGCCCTAGGCTGGGCAGATATAAACAGTACAGGTGTGGGTAGCTGTGGAAGACAGTCCAGGGCTAATGGATAAATTAAAGGGAAAATTATTTGTAGAGGAAGCATACTTAACAGAGCAGTCTGGTCCATAGGAAAGGAAGGCAAAGGGGATGTAGGTCTCCATCATTATCATCTGTTCCTCCAATATTTAGCGAAAGGATTGAGGGAGGAAAGAAGGATAGAAGGAAAGTTATTGACGGCCCCCTGGTGACATGGTTTCTCCAGAGCTGATAATATCTAAGGGAAAATCATTAGGCCAGATGGAGAAGAGAGTTTAAGAAACAGCACAGTGAGATGGAGAAAAACAGATGAGCAGATGGAATCCAAGAAAGCATTTCTTTTTCTCTCCTTAGGTTTGTAGAAGAGATAATCACACAGATCCTGGGTTTTCAGAGCTGGCTCTAGAGTCCTGGGATGCAGAGTGGTCAGGAGTGCTGTAATGCCCCCCTTGACAAGAAAAAACAGATACCGAAGGGCTAAATAACTTGTCTTGCCATTTACAGGATGCTGTAAAGAGGTAGCAGGAAATGTAGCTTCCAAAAAATCATTTTCTTAAGACCTGAAGGTTCTATTTAGAAGATTCTCTTGGTAAGAGCAGCTTAAGTACGCTTTTGTAATCTGATGTCCCAGGGACATATGTCTGACTTGGGAGCATTTTGGTCCTTATGAGGAGACTCACTGACCCTGAAATTATGTGCTCGGGAAGTATAAAAGTTCTCATTTATAAAACAGCCAGTAAAGAGAGAGCATGAGAAAGTGCTGTGCACAGAAAGACTCCTGCCATGGCCGTTTCGTCAGGATTCCTTTGCATACTGGCCTCCTACCTCTTCAAAATCTAAACCAGATTATGGACTCAGACTGGGAGTAACCAAGACTCTAAAGTATTGAGAGAGGGGAGTGGAAATATCTGTAGAGAGTCCATCTATTTACATAGGAGAGAACAGGCAGATTCCACACAGCCTAAAACATTTGATTGAGCTGTTTTGCCATAATACACTACATCAAAGATAAGTCTAAGTTCTAATCTTTTTTGTATTTGTTAATTGTTATTATAAATGTTATGTACAGAGTGGTTAGAATTACATAAGTCAGGTAATGAGTACATTTCTTTCTAGACAATGTGACTCTTTCCCTCCCTGTCTCCGAGTTTTTCCCTGCCATCCCCACCCACAAGTTGTATGGTTCATTTTCCACATAGTGTCTAGTAAGTACCACTGTTCACTCTTTGTCCATTTCTGTGCTCCCTCTTACCCTCGCAACTGGTTCTGTTTTGACAAGTTGTGTTAGAGCATTCTTACTTGCTTCTCGCTGTGTCTATATCCTTTTGAGCATATGCCTTTGGCATTTAGAAATACAAATAATCAGAAATGAAGGATCCTTAACCTTATATCTGATCTGCAATGGCTCTGGGGGTAATCAATTTAGAACAAGAGGAAATTGTTTTGCTTTATTACTTTTAATTCTGGTCTTATTTTTTATTAGTTCATTTTCAGACTCTGTGTGTCTTATTTGCATATAAGCACACAGCAGTGCTGTAGGATCTTAATACAGTACTTTAGTGTCTTAAAACACTTCTCTTGAGGCAAGTTATCTAGGTGTACAACTCCAAAAAAGGGTCTGGCAAACTTAGCCGAATCACATATTTACAAGTCATTTAGTTTACTTTTCTTTATTTGATTTTTTTTCATTTTGAATGCATGCATAGAAACTTATAAATACTTTTGGGGTATGTATCCACTCACCTGATAATAACTTATTATTTACAGTGAGCAGCACACAGACTTGCTAAGACTTGCTAAGTTCAAATCCAAGAAGTAACCTATCGGCCTTTCTTTGTTACATTGAGTTACTTTTGTAAGTAATGAATTGATCTATGAGAATTTCAGTTTGGCTTCTTTCAAATAAAAATGTATATCAATGAAGTATGTGATATCGTGGGATACTCCAAGAGTAATAGGGAAGTTAAACTTACAAATCACAGTAATTAATAATTAGAAGATCATCCCATCACTTGAAGAAGTGGCAATCAATAAAACATCTTGCCGGAGCCTTCAGCACCAGCCTGTAGTGATGGTGTGTGACCACTAGATGGCACACGCTCAATGTTACAAGTTACCATACCATAGAACAGAGAAATTACTAGAAGCCTGTGAAGATGGGTACCATGCTTTCTTCAGGATAGCCCAGAAAATTGCTGAAGTGGAGAACATTTTTTCCCTTGTTCATTGGAGGTGAGGGGGCTGAAAATTTTTTTTCCAAGGGTAGTTTTCAAGTGCAATATGACTCAAAGAAATTTCCTTTTGAACCTCACATTTGGATGCCACTATTAAAATACAGGGTTTATCAAACAAGATGGATATTGTTCTTTGTCATAAAATCATGCTTTACGTTGTAGTCAAAAAGAAGGTGACACCTGGGCCAGGTCAACCGAAGCCCTAATCCAGGCTGCAGGAGGCTAGGCTAGCTTCTGCAGACTTAGATTATTGAAACCTGTTTCCAAACATTCTGGGAATGGACTATATATATCTTTCGTCATTTAGGATAGTAATACCTTTTTTTTCTTCTTCATTAATCACCTCTTTTTTTTATCTTGAATTAATGCTGCTAATTTATACTGTACAAAACACAAAGTTGTTTTAATTCACTAGGGTAATCATTGGTTTCCTAAATAATAGCCCTAAACTATGTATGTACTTTTTACCATAGATGCAAGAAAAAAAGATGGCTGCTAGAGACCTAACCTTAACCTTGAGGCACTTCTAGACCAAGCAAGGAGATCAGACAAGAGGCACATTTAAGTAAAACAGGCAACACATACTGAGTTTCTGTGATGGCATGCTGGTAGAAAGCATTTTTTAAATTATCAGTAAAATCTGTTATTTTGGGCTGGGAATGTGGCTTAGTGGTAGAGTGCTTGCCTAGCATGCCTGAAGCCCTGGGTTTGATTCCTTAGTACCACATACACAGAAAAAGCTGGAAGTGGCACTGTGGCTCAAGTAGTAGAGAACTGGCCTTGAGCAAAAAGAAGCTCAGGAACAGTGCTCAGGCCCTGAATTCAAGTCCTAGGACTGGCAAAAACCAACAACAATGTCAAAAAACTGTTATTCCCTCCCTCTCCCCCCCCCCCCCCATATCATACAGGCTTTTTAGAGAAAGTGAGGTAAGTAGGAATAAAAAGAGAAAATAAAACTTGCCTACCATCCCTTGGTTAAAGAGAACTAGTGCTTGCATTTGTACTTGTTTGTTTGTTTTCCTGTACGCTTTTTATTTTTCTAGTCCAGTAGAATTGGCCTATTTTCTGGTCACCAGCAGCCCTGGACGGTTCATTTGCCTGCTAGGCAAGTTGTTATTGATGAAATGCCTGTGGTATTTTACCTTCTCATGGTCTTTTCCTTTTGTAGCCTCAAGCAGCCTGTAACCCTGCCATATTCAGAATTGTTGATGAAATGTTCAGGTAAATATTATGCTGTCCCTACTAGCATTTGATCTATAAACACTTAGCTTTCAAACATAAACATGAAGTCCTGCAGTAGTCTCTGTCTATACCATGGGGAAATGAAGAGTTTCTGACTCCTCCTTAGCCCTCTGAGCTTTGTGGTAGAGGTGAAAACTCCAAGAGTCAGTGTGGATTTAATAACTATGCCTAAGAATTCAGACAACTTTCCTTGAGCCTTTTTATATCTGACTAATAATGACAGAAAAGCAGAACTGTATTAGGTATTAGGATCATGAAATATTGATGTAGGATTTATCCCAGCTCAGCATAAAACAGCAGTATACTCCCTCACCACATGAGGGCTGACTGATCTTTGTAAAAGACTTGAAAGCCAAGAAAAATAAATAAATAAAGCCATTCTTAACAGAGCTCTTCAGAAAGGCAGAATAAACCCCGTGTGTTTCTTGCAACATTGATTTTTATTTATTCTGAAAATGTGGGCTGTCCTGGAGCGTGCGCTAGCTTTCTAGAGGAGGAGAGGTGCGGAGCTCGCTGCATTGTAGGTTGGGGCTGCTCCAGCGTGCTGAGGGGGTTCCAGCCATGGAGCTCTCAAACTAGGTCTCTTTGGGAGAGCTTGTCACCCCTGAGTTTCCAGCCTACATGGATGTAGGCTATCAGGGTCTGGACCTGCCCTCCACCTCCCACCCTAACTTTGAGCTGCTTACTCTTTGGGCAGCTCTGTCGCTGCTTGTGAAAGCAGAATGTCAGTGGCTACCTGCAGGTCTACTGTACACATGTGCTTGCAAAGAGCAGTGGGCACTTTAAAAAACAAGAAAGAGCTCTGCATCTTGTAGTTTAAAGAAAGTGCTTAGAAAAGGGAGTGATTGGTTTCTCCTGCCCTCACACTGGGATTGGAATTGGATGAATTGCCACACTTCCGTTGCTTATGGTACAAAAGGAATGTTTCCACCCCCTTCACAGGTTTGCCATATGAAGCATTCGGTGTGTCATGGTCTGACTTTGCCTTGTCTAGGTTCGCACTCCTGGAAACAGATGGAGCCCCAGAACTAGTAACCTCTCTGCAAGTGTTCACAAGATGCTTTGCAGAAGCTCTGGAGAAAGAAAACAGAGAGGTTTGTTATATTGTCTGTATTACTCATTAAAGAGGTATGTTCTCTTGCATATGTTACTCATTCACCACAGAGAAAAAAGGCTGCTAATCACCTAATAGGGAAACTTTCTTAGAAACTTGGTTTTGTGGTAGCACATTGTAGGCACATGCACTCCCACAAAGCCGTACTGTACCCCCCCAGTCCTATTTTCAGAAAACTTAACAGGCTGCTTTACTCATGAAGAAGGCTTCCAACCAGTTGTCATCACAAAGGCAAGACCATCAAAAAGTCAAAATACAGTCTACCTGCCTATGCCTTGGTGCTCAGGTGCTTTGTTCCATTGCCATGTTTAAGATTATTGTCATGCTGGCACACATTGTCCTGATGGGGAATCTCCCCAGCTTTGTGTGCTTGCTCTGCCCTTTGGGCTGCATCTGATCTTCTGGCCAGCAGAAAGCCTTCCTGGCATATGTGAGAAGGAGCTACCACTGATTACAGAGCACAGTGGACATTCTTGGTGATTGGTGTCTTTATTTCCTTTTTTGTGTGTGTGTATGTATGATGGTCCTGGGGCTTGAACTCAGGGCCTGGGCACTGTCCCTAAGCTTTTGTACTCAAGCTTAGCATTCTACCATGTGAGACACAGCTCCACTTCTAGCTTTTTTGGTAGTTAATTAGAGATAAGAGTCTCATATACTTTCCTACCCAGACTGGCTTCAAACCACAATCCTCAGATCTCAGCCTCCTGAGTAGCTAAGATTGTAGACCTGAGCCATTGGTGCCTGGAAAGATGTCTTTATTTCTAAGAGAAACCAAAAAGTGAGTGGATTCCAGTAGAGAAACGAAATGGTGAAAAGGTCTGAAAATGATTTGAGTCACTATAAAGGAGGAACCAAGAATGGCAGTGCCCAGGAAGTATGTAAGATGCTGTTGGGGAGCAGAAGACACCAGGGTCCCCTCAACCAAGGCTGGACACTGGCTGTAAGAGACAATGACTAATTAGAAAGACTGTGTGAAACAGGAGCTTTTGCTTTTGTTTTAAGCCAGAGAATTTTCATCTTTGGCCATTATAACAAGCCTTTACATCTCATGCCACAGACTTAGAATTTATGTGGTGTTTTTGCTGTTCAGCATAGTGCTAGTTCACTACATCTTTCCACTGGAGGAGAGCACAGCCCCTGTGATACTCTGCAATTTGATGTGGGAGGGCAGAGCTAGGGTATTCAGCCCTTGCTAAAACTCCACACAGCTGAGCTAGGGTGTTCAGCTCAGCCCTTTCTAAAACTCCACATAGCACTAGGTTGAAGAAACCTCTCTGGTTTTACCAGATGGTTCTGCTTTTGAGGTAATAATAAATACTTATGATTTATTTTTTCCTATCATCTTCTTCCCTAGGGAAGTTAGCTGCATGCTAGCAATGTTATCAGTGGTGCCCATGCCTGGAATTTGGGAGGAGAGCTCAGCTGAAAAGCACCGTCTGGTCCTCACAATTATCTTGAGGCATAAATATAAATATGTTATCCTCCCTGTACATTCTTATATTCTCAGTTAGAAACTGACCTGTAGCAAACTTCACCCTTGGCGTTCTGGGACAATTCCAGCTTGGGACAGAGAATGTAGCCTGGCTTGAGTGTCTTCATTTTGGTTTTATTCCGAATCTCTATTGGCCTTGGACACCAGATTTGGTCTAGAGGTGTTATTTTAATTTAGAACAATACCCTGACCAGGTTATGTCTGTCTGGGAAATTGGAATCGCCAACTGAGCCCAGATGTGAGATAGGACAGAAATGAACCCTTCCTCCCCCCCACCATACCCCCCTCCCCCGAAAAAAACTAGCAAAAAAACAGAAGAACGCATTTGCCACTGATCTTTGACTCAAAATAGGAAAGCAATAACCTTATAGGTTTACAAACTACCTTCATATCTACCTATTATTTCATTTCCTTCTGGTACTATCCCCAACTACCTCCTTTTTCCCTGATGGATGGTCTCAGTCACTGACCCCTGACTTCATCTATAGACTTACCAGGTCCATGATGCCTACATGTCCTGTCAAGCTTGATCTATGCATGGCTTCAATTCTGTGCCTTATTCATTCACTTTTTCATTCCCAGCGAAAGGAATATCAGTGAAACCTATCTCTAAACTAGTGGAAATGATTTCTTTTTGTCTGTATTCCCCTCTGCCTTATCTATGCTTCTTCTGTGCTTCTCAACTCAGATAAACACTGTTTATATTATAAACATAATATTTATAATTCCTCTGCTTTTTTTCTGGAAATAGTTTGATTACCTATATACGTCTAAACCGTGTTTTTAATTTGGGTTAACTTCATACTTTGTAGGCAAAGAAAAAAAGAGTACCATACTGTATGCAATCTTTGAGATTTTTCCACTTGGCTTGTTATAAAGATTGTTTATAGGTGCCTGTTGTAAATGTTGTTATGTAGGAGTCCATTGTGCAAATGTTCCACAATGTATCTACTTTTCATTTGGTAGGCATTTGGGTTGTTTCCAGATTTTGTTTCTATTATAAACAGCATTGCTCTAGCTGTTCTGTATGATAATTAGAAGTGCTTAGCTACTAGGAATGCAGATGTTCAACTGCCCAGTTGGTGGCATTTACACTATTAATTCACATTCTTTTCCACTATCAGAAGTGCTTAGTTCCAACTGGGTGCCACACTTACTGGGGAGGCTAAGATCCAGAAAACGAAGTGTGAAGCTAACCCTGGCAGAAAAGTTTGGGATTCTATCTCCAGAGTAACTAGTAAAAAGCTGGTCTAGAGGCATTGGCCAAGTGGTAGAGTACTACCTGAGCGCACACAGGGCCCTGAGTTCAAACTCTGGTCCAGCCATCCCCCAAAAAGGAGTAGCGTAACTTCATTTCTTCTTATTCCCATTCTACTCTTTCCTCTCATTCCTGTAGCTGGTATGTGGGCAGCATGATTTAGTTCCATCTATGAACAGTAGGCAAAAACTTCATGTAGACAGAGTAGGACACATTTTTTTTTGTACAATGACTGGCTCAGTACAAGCAGCCAGTCGGGTCAGGGTCAGGTTACAGCAGATCAGCAGTCTGATAATGTACAAAACTCTTAAGTATCCTACAGATAAACATTATAAATTTAGGGCAAGTTATTGTTAAAAATCAATTTGAAGGCAGGAAGGGAGTGCATCTGGAAAAATGGACAAAATAACAGAGACTTTGGATCCTGAAGGGGAAACAGAAGTGAGCAAACTCTAGCTTCTCCCCAGGGCTTTCCTGTGAAGAGCCCAGGTTCCCAGGTGCATTGACTACAGGTGGGAAATATCAGAGCTGTAGGCTTTCAGAGGGTGTGGGGTGGGGGGTGGGGGGACAGGAAGCAAAAAGAAACCACATTAAAAGATAGACCTGGGTACAGAGCTTGACAGCTGCTTGAGAGGTAGATATAGGAAAATAGCATTTCAAGATCTTCCCTGGAAAAAGTTACCAAGACTTTATCTCAAAAACAATCCAGGAGCCAAGTATGGTGGTACATATCTGCAATTCCAGCCACTTGAGAGGGAGAGGTAGGATGATAGAAGTCCTGATAGGAAGATAGAAAGCTGCCCTGGGCAAAAGCATGAAACCCTATCTAAAAAAAAAAAACAAAATAAAAGCACAAAGATTGGTTGTGTGGTTCAAGTGACAGAGTGCTTTAAGTGCTGCCCTGAGATGAGTCCCCATTACTACCAAAAGGGAAAAAAATAGATCTAAACCAAACAGAGAAAGAACAAAAATTATTCGCCAAAATTAAATGAAAAATATTGTAGTAAAAAGATGTCAGATGGGATTCAAAACAAAACAAGATCAATAAGAATAAAAAGACCCACCTATATGTTGTTTCCAGAATCTATCCTAATGATTGACAGATGGAAAGTGAAAAGAGGAAAGGATGTTATGTTATGCAAACTGTAAACACAGGAAAGCCGAGGTGGTTGTTAGTAGCAGGTGAAGCTGACTCCCAAGATAAATCACATGCTGGAGAGAAAGTGCAACATTTATAATGACAGTTCATTGAGAGAAATACCAAATTTAAATGGGTATGGGCCTAGTAGAGTCACAAAATTAATTAAGTGAAACAAAAGGAAGAAATAGACAAATTTGTGGAAGTATTCGAACTGCAAACTGCAAAGCATTTCTGAGAGCAACTAAAGCAGACTTGAATGTAAGGAGAGAAAAACCACATTCATGAACTTCTTCAGGTCCAGCTGCTGCCTATTTCCATTCCTGGTGATCTCAGTAGCCCCTCACCTTCTCTCCCCCCGCCCCCCGCAACGTGCATGGTACTTGGGCTCAAACCAGGGTTTTGTGCAGGCAAGGTAAGTGCTCGATCATTGAGCCAGAACTTAAAGCAGGCTTTTTAAAAATGAAAAATTTTAGATCCAGGCATTGGTGGCTCACATCTGTAATTCTAGCTCATGCCTATAATCTTAGCTACTTGGGGGGGGGGGGGGGGGGGGAGGCTGAGATCTGAGGATCACGGTTCAACACAAGTCTAGGCAAGATAGACCATAGGACTCTTACCTCCAACTACCCCCACCCCCCAAAAAAAGCTGGAAGTGGAGCTGTGGCTCAAGTGGTAGAGCACTAGCCTTGGCTAAAAATGCTCAGGGACAGTGCCCAGGCCCTGAGTTCAAGCCCCAGGACTGGCGCGCGCACACACACAATATTTTTTTAAGTAGGTTCTAAAATGTACATGAAAATACCCAAAAACCAGAATAGTTTTGAAAAACAAAACCAGAGGACTCATACTACTACCTGATTTCAATACTTAAAGTTACAGTAATTAAAACAAGAAGGTATTGGCAAAAGGTCAGACATAGATCAGAACAGAGTCCAGATAAATACCCATATATATGATTGAGATCAGTTGATTTTTGACAGAGTGGCTTGGTCGCAATTCAATGAGGGAAAGGAAAGTTTTCAACAAAAGGTGTGGAATAACTGGATGTCCATGTGAGGTAAATATATCTCAATCTCAGCCTCAGAAAGCATACAAAAACTAATCAGAGAGGACTACAAACTTTATTGAACATAAAGGTTAACATTATGAAGCTCTTAGGAGAAAATACAGTAGAATCTGTGTTGGAGTAATCACAGATTTCTTAAGATTAAAAAAAAAAGAATTACTGATCATTCAAGAAAGATGCATAAGAATAGACTTCATTAGAATTAGAATGGATTTATTTAATAGATACTGATACTGTTTAAGAGAACAAACAAGCAAGCCACAATGTGGAGAAAATATATATATATCGCAAATGATTCTTGTCCATAATATATGAAGATCTCCTACATAAGAAAAACAATTTAATTGTTTTTAAAAGACAAAAGTCTTAAACACACATTTCATAAAAGCTATGTAAAATGGCAATGAAAATTGTTTGTCATTGTTCACTATCAAGAAATGCATATTAAAGCATGAATAAAAATGCATGCATATGGTCATGTTTCAAGCTTATTAGAATGGCTAAATTAATAAGCTTGGCAACACCAAATATTGGTAAGAATGTAGAGCAACTAATTCTCATGCTTTGGAAGTGGGAATATGAAATAGTATAACTACTAGAAAACTACTGGCCATATAAGTTTTATCGGCACCTACTCTATAGTTTAGTAATTGCTCTCTTATAGTACTCACCTAAGAGAAATGAAAACACTTGTCCATAATGACAGATGTGAATGTTAATTGGAGCTTTATTTGTAATGACAAAACCAGAAGCAGCCCAAATGCTCATCAGTACTCTGCAGTGGATAAACAGATTGCTATATTCACGCAGTGACTACTTTTGAGTAATAGATAAAAATGAACTGCTTTTATAAAGTAACATGAATGAATCCTTTTCTTTAAAAAGTGTCAGAGAAGCCAGTCACAAAAGAATACACACTCCTTAGTTCTTTTTACATGAAATAATAAGCAAAAGTGACTTAAAATAGTTGCCAGGCGATGATACAGGGAGTGGCTGAGAGTCATAGGGAACTAGGTAGGGAGATAGAAATGTCCTGGGTCCTGATTACAGTGCTGGTCACATGGATTTACACATCTACCCACTCGTCAAAATGTTCTTTGGCCCTGTGTACTCCCTGAAGTCTTCCAGATTTTACCCTTTCCCCCTTTAGAGTACTTCAAAACCTTTGTGCCTCTGTGTGTGTGTGGGGGGGGGGGGGGGGTGAGAGAGAGAGAGAATGTGTGTAAGTTGTGGGGCTTGAACTTAGGGCCTGGGTGCTATCCCTGACCTCTTCTGCTCAAGGCTAGTGCTCTAACACTTTGAGCCACAGCTCCACTACTGGTATTTGAGTGATTAATTGGAGATAAGAGTCTCGTGGCGACTTTTCTTGCCCAGGCTTGCTTCGAACCATGATCCTTAGATCTTAGCCTGCTGAGTAGCTAGGATTATAGTCATGAGCCACCCTTTGTGCCTTTCAGGGCACAGATAGCTACTGTCCTCAGTTTTCAGAAATACAAGCACCACTTTTTGTTCTTGTTGTTGTTTAAAAACACATACACACTCTCACTGAAATTTGATATCTCAAAATTGTATTGGTAGCTTTCACTTAAATGGAAGGCTTAGGTATAAAAGTGAGTTTGTATGAAGTACTCATACAGACCAGAAGGTAACTTCTAAAAAGGTTCATTTTTCTGGAAAATATTTGTCAGGTTATTGGAAGCACATTTTTAAAAAAGTTTTTAAGAAAATGTTCTTTACTGGCATTGGCAGGAACTTCCTGAATAAAAAACCCGGGGCTCAGCAAATAGGAGAGAAAATTGATAAGTGGTATTACATCAAGCTAAAAAGCTCTGTACAGTGAAGAATGTAGTCACTAAGATAAAAAGATAATACAGAATGGAAGAAGATCTCTGGTAGCCAAATATCTGAGCCTTATAGCCAAATTAATAAATAGGCAGAGGAGTTAATCAGACACTTCTCAGAAGAAGTACATATGGTCAATAAATATATGAAGAAATGCTCAAGATTCCTGACCATAAAGGAACACAAATCAAAATGACATTGAGATTCCATCACCCTCCACTCAGAATGTCAACATGACAGCAACAAATGCTGGCAAGGATGCAGGGAAGAAGAGATCCTAATATGCTATTGGTGGGAATGCATATTTGTGCCATCATTATGAATATCAATATGGAGATTCCTCACAGAATTAGAGCAGTACCACTCTTGGGCATTTATGCAAGATTGCTAGTTTCGATACCACAAAGGCACCTGCACACTCATTTATTATAGCTCTTTTCACAATTACCAAGTTATGGAAACATCTTAGGTACACTACAAGAAAATGTGTGTATGTGCATGCACACATGCACATGCACACACATACACACAGTAGAACTGATTTCATCAGAAAGAACAATATTGGCAGGCAAGTGGATGGACCTGGAAAAAAAATACGTTGAGTCAAATCAGGCTTTGACACAGAGTACATGTCTCCTCTTCTATATGGAAGTTAGACCCAAAATGTAAATATGTTAAAGACACTTACAGAGATATATATCCAACTAAAGTATGGCATGTGCAAGGGTAGGTTTCCATGGTGTAATCCTTTTGAGCAATTTTCAGACAATATAACAAAATTAATACCAGGAATCTGAAGCATATCTTATCTAGAGGGGAGTGGATGAATGTAGTCATAATGTTCAATGTACATATATGAAAATGGAACTAGGAAATTGAGGGGATGGGTGGGGTTGGAATGGATGGGGGCAAGGGGAGTATGATGGAAGGGGTGACATTGGATCAAGATGCATTGTACTGGGGGGAGGGGGAAGATGGGAAGGGATAGGAAGGGGAAACAAAGGAGGAGGCAACAATGCTTGATAAGAAATGTACTCATTACCTTGCTCGTGTAATTGTAACCCCTCTGTAGGTATTTTCACAATAATTAAAAAAAAAGATGCATTGTACTTATAAACAGATGTTGAATTGAAACCCCCTTGTCCAACTATTTAAAAGGAAGGAAGGGGAAGTGGCACTATGGCTTAGGCGGTAGAGTGCTCGCAGTGACAGTGCCCAGGCCCAGAGTTCAAGCCCCACGACCGACCAAAAAAAAAAAAAAGGAAGGTTGATTGGTTGAGTTAGTACAGTAGGTTTCACTGGGGAGGGCAGAAGAGGCTCAGGGTTTTGTGTTCTTCCCTATACCCTTCCATTCCTGACATTCATGATTATTATGCATTTTTGACCCTATTGTAGCTGAAGTTTGCACTCAGGACCTACTTTCCCTATGCTGCTCCATCTCTCACTACCGTGGTGTTGCAGCATCCTGAAGGTGAGTTGAAGTTGCCTATATCCAAGTCGTAGTGAGAAGAGCTTTTGAATCATGTGACCCTCCCTCCCAGTGCTGAGCTGTCACATGAGTAAAGTGGCATTGGTGATGGCTGAGATCCCTTCCTGCTCTCAGGGTCTCACTGCTTGTGGATTTTGCTCTGAATATCTGCTTTACTTCCTAGGTATAATTTTTTTTTTTTTGCCAGTCCTGGGGCTTGAACTCAGGGCCTGGGTACTGTCTCTGAGCTTCTTTTTGCTCAAGGCTAGCAGTCTACCACGTGAGCCACAGTCCTACTTCTGGCCTTTTCTGTTTATACGGTATTGAGGAATTGAACCCAGGGTTTCATGCATGCAAAGGAAGCACTCTACCACCAAGCCACATTCCCAGCCCTGAACTTTTTTTTTTAATCCCTTACTAGTATGCCTACAGATAGCACTGGCTCTGCTGGTTCCAGCCAAGTCTACCTAGATGCCAGAACAGGCTGAGACTTGGCTGAGTCGGAATAAAACAGTACCCTTGTTTGTTTTTCATTCTTTTGCTCCATGAAGCCTTGTGACAGAAGTTAAAATGAAGGACGAAGCCACGAAAATTTAGAGGAAATGTCTCCTAGCCAAGCCCAGGAAAAGATTGTGAAGAATTTAATATAATACTTACATTAGACCATTCCTTTTCCTGATTTCATTTGCCAGCCTTTTCCCATAGATTATGTCCTTAATTTAGCTGGTATTGACCAGAGAGTGTGTCTGTGAGCTTGTGTTTTGGAAACTTTTGAGAAATGAAGAATAAAATTGTCTTTCTCTGTGTCATCTGGAACCTTCAGGAAAGTCAGAACTGATACAGCACAGTTGGCACTGAGGAAAGAGCTTATGTGGCCAGGGAAGAAGAGAAATGAGAGAGGATAAAGAGCCATCCCAATTCCCTGTTGTATAGTTTTTGTCCTTTTTTCCCCTCTATACTTGAATGAGAGAGAGCCATGTGAGGAAAATAGATGATTCAAAATTTTAGAGCATTTTACAAAATCTAAATTCCTCTTCCTTTGCCTAAATGTAGGTTATCATTGAAGGTGGCCCATCTGACATGATCCTCAGATGCTGTGATAGGGCTGGCATGGCCTGAGATGGATCTCTGCTTGATGATTTGTGAGAACTCAGAACACTATGGAGAACTTTATTAACAAGACAGAAAGGTCCAGGGCCTACTGTGCAACATGGGCCTGAGGTCAGCTCATGAGAGGTAGTTAACTGGTCTCCAGAAAAGTGACTGGAGCTTATGCTTGGAAACCTGTAAACAGAAAAACAAGAAGTACATATGCCTGAACTCAGCCTGACTGCCTGTTCACTTGTATAACTGTCCTAGATGCCTGCCCCAAAGTAGATCACTGACCTCAAGTAGCAGAACAGACCTCCTTGTTGGCCCAGGAATGGTTATCTGCATTGCCTTTGGGAAAGCAAGTGTATAATCACAGGTGGAAGTGTTTTAACAGTCTAACCTCCTATTGACAGAATTATATTTCTTGATTGTTGTGAGGTTCTGGGGCAAATATGATCACTTGCAATACTGACTCTTCAGGAGTCATAAGGAATAGAGATAAAAAGTTAATATCAAAGCAACTATTAATATGAATAATAAAATGACAAGTGCCTTCAAAAGGCTATGATTAAGGGTTATAGAATTCAGAGGAGGGAGAGAGATTGAGTGCCCTTGAGTCTGTGCTTTTGTAGAAGAGCATTATCTCCCTCATGTATTTGATTATAGAACCTATGGGCTGGGAAGGTGGCTCAGTGGTAGAGTGCTTGCCTTGCGCACATGAGGCCCTGGGTTCGATTCCTCAGCACCACATAAGCAGAAAAGGCCAGAAGTGGTGCAATGGCTCAAGTGTTAGAGCACTAGCCTTGAGCTGAAGAGCTGAGGACAGCACCCAGGCCCAGAGTTCAGGCACCACAATTGAAAAAAAAAAAAAAAACCTATCTGTACATGAACACCTTTCTCTAATGTTCATTAGAAATAGATGCATGCTCAGATGCTTCAAAAACTATAGTGTGGTTGTGAAAGGAGAAATACACAAGAAAAGGCCTCACATGATGCTCACATAGTTTTTCCTAGCCTTTTCTGTATTGAAAACTTGAAATCATATTCTGAACTCATCACAGTCATACACACACAAGTACCCAGTCCATTCTTAATTTCTTATTGATGATTTTAATATGGTCTCCACTATTATTTTGAAATCATAAATGTCATTAATGATGGAACCAGCAGGTAGGTGGGTAGAAAAGAAAAAGCCTGAGCCAGGCGCCGGTGGCTCATGCCTGTAATCCTGGTTACTCAGGAGGCTGAGATCTGAGGATCGGGGTTCAAAGCCAGCCCAGGCAGGAAAGTCCGTGAGACTCTTATCTCCAATAAACCACTAAAAAACCGGAAGTGGTACTGTAGCTCAAGTGGTAGAGCACTGGCCTTGAGCTGAAGAGCGCAGGGACAGTGCCCAAGGCCAGAGTTCAAGCCCCGTGACCAACCAAAAAAAAGAAAAGAAAAGAAAAGGCCTGGTGTACCTGTGACATGTCATTTCTGAGACCTATGGTGGTCTCTATCAACCTCCATGGACCATGTTTAAAATGCTTTTGAGTTTAGTTCTGGATAATACTGATGGCTCTTTCTTCACAAGGGTAAGAGACAGACCCTGGGTGGGAAAGTATGGAATGGATCCCATGAATTAGAAAAAAAAAACCATTCCCCGCCAAACTTCTGGTATTAACTTCAGATTGTGTCTAATGTTTTTTTTAGCTTTTCTTCAGTACTCTTCTGACCTCTCTTCCCACAGCTATCCCACCAGAACACCAGCTCCAGCCTCTGCAGCGTATTTCTGAGTTGCTCAGAGAAGCAGTTGAAGGCCAGATTTGTGGGTGAGCAAACATTGACCACTGCTAACTCCACTGCACAGGTGTTTCCCTCATCCTTATCTCCCTTTAATTAGGACTGATAGCTGAAGGCTGTACTGACTTCACTAGACAGGTAAGCACCATCCGTAAATGAGAGCAAGTAGAAGTGCCCAGACACAGGGATGGTAGTGGAAGTTAGATGAGATGGGTATATGGGGGCAAGTCCCTGCATGGGAACAGTTCTGGGTTTTCATTCTGATACATCCAACCATGACAGTAAGCAGAAAGACCCTGGAAAAAAGCAGCTTGTGCATGCAGGGAGACCCTCACCATTCAGAAGAAAAGAGTATCCATGAGTTCTCGGTTCAATCTGCCTAAAAAGGAAATGCTAAACTTCTGCCCTGCAGGAGGAAATATTTACTATTTTGTCTTTTTTTTTCAATTGACATAAAAATTGTTTTCCTATTTAGCAAATCTCTCCAAAGTTAGAAAACCTATTCTACATAAGTTAATTTCTACCAGTATGGTATTAAGAACCCTCTTCTGCTATTTTCCTAAACAAACTCAAGTGTAGACTTGCTATGTTCTTGTAATACAGCTCACTCTGGTTTCTTCCTAACACCCACATTTATAATATAAATGACTCATTGTCTTCTGTTGACCTACTTAAGACTTTTGTTTGTCCCTCTTGCCACCCTGTTCTTTCTAGATTCCCTATCACTTTCTCGGCCAGAGCCTGGTGCTCCTTTATCTATTTGCACCAACTGAAGTTCTTGGTACCAATTACTCCCTTTTTCCTACCAAATTCTTACCAAAAGAGGACAGATGAACACCAGCTGGCAGCCAGATCAGAATGTTGGCCACATTCACTGCCTTGCTATACCTTACCGGCACCTGCTTGCCCTTTCTTGTGGCCCTCTGGGGTTGCAGATCTTATGGTATGCAGACCTTTACCTATGCTTTGGAGTCCACCTTCAGGAGAGTCTGTGACTAGGTGTTAGCACTTTCTCAGCTGTGCAGGTCTCTCCCTGCTGGGAGAAGGAAGCAGCAGGATACTCATTGTAAAGCTTACTGGCCAGCCCAGTGAGTCTACAGAGAAAGATGTGGAGAGAGAGAGAGAGCCTTGCCTCACCCTCAGGCATCCTAGCCAACCTCAGCTCATCCTGGCCGCTGGGCTTCAGCTCTGAGCTATGAATGAGCTGCCTACCTCTTCTCTCTTCTCCTTCACTGTTCTGAAACCAAGCTTTCAGAACATTCACTCTGTGTTTCTCAGAGAATTCTGCCCTCCATGACCAGGGAGGCAAGGGACAGTGTTTAGAGCCCTTAGGGATCTTTTTGGCTAAGCAAAAAAACAAGGAATCGGGTCCTTCACTTACTAATATTTCAGAGGGTTCCAGAACACTCCTGTTCCAGCTATTCTTCTTTCCAGAAGGTTAGTTCCTATCTTGCTTGGCCTCTAGCCCTCCTGCTTCAGTTTCTGCAGGGCACATGTTGATCTGCTGAGACTCACTGCACTAAATGCAATGGCCCTTCCCTCAAGTATATTCTACCCTTAAAATAAATGTCACAATTCTCAGTTCCCACAGTGACAGGGGTAGTTTTTTTAAGCCTTCAGTTTCCTGTCCTGATAAATGTATGCTGATGGAAAAACACCCAGCACATTATTCATTAAAAGTACATAATTAAAAAACTGACCAGAACTTTGTATATTTCTGTTTGTGCCCCATGTCCCACGTTTTGTCCCAAAGAGTAGGAGCCAGCAGCCTTCTCTAGGCTCCACTTGATCTCTGGAGCTTCCCTCTTTTGCTCTAGAGCTACCAGGTGGCTGCCTTTGTGGCTGGCAGGTCTTATACTTCCCATCAGCCCAGCTGTGCAAGCCAGGTAGGAGGCAGGCCAGGTACAGGTGTCATCCTGCACTGTTCCTGTTGGTCATAGGTTAGATATCCTTTTCTGGAAGTCTATACTCATAATACCCAGGTATTAGGACTTAAAAGCATCCAAAGTCCTCAGTACACATGGAGTTGGGAGTGAGGGGGAGGCAGGAGGCATCTCTTTGTATGTCCTGTGATAGGCTCACTAGGGATTTCTGAGTAACTTGCTTTCTTTTGCAACTTGTATTTCACTGGTAAGTGCACTTTAAACCAACCATTCACACACATTGAAGTTGTATCTTTGGTTTTGTTCCAGGTCCCAAGGTTATCCCTTTGAGAGCTGGTTTTTGCTTGCTCACTTTGGAGGATGGATTGACATGGCAGCTCAGCAGTTACTGAGGTTGGAAGCTGAACCTCCTGCAGCCCTGCTGTGGCTCTTGGCATTCTACTATAGCCCCCAGGATGGGAGGCAGCAGAGGGCACAGACCATGGTAGGTAGCAGGCTCTCTCTGTGTGCTCAGGGTTGGGCCCTGGGGAGTCGAGCCTGGCTGGAGGGGCTCTATTATGGATTTGTCTTCCCCCATACCCTCAAGCTCTGGGGAGTCATGGCATATGTTGTGGTAATGTGCAGTTGTCCACTTAGATGACAGAAGATGTGGGCTGGGCCTACAAGTTAGAGATGATCTCCTTCCTCCACGGAGTAGCCTGGGGAAAAGATGTTGCCTCACCCCCCAGGACTGTACCTGCTCTCCTGAGCCTCTTCTCAGGAGGGGTGACTGATTTGTTATTGCCTGGTGTCCAGTCCAGCCTCAGGGCTGTCTTCCAGGGGATGCCATGAAGGGATGACAGCTCCTGTGAGGATCACTGTCCCTACGCAGAGCTTGGCTCTTAAGCCAGTCTCCTTTCTTCCCCATCAGCATCCTAGACAGTCTGCTTCTACCCGACTTTCTGCTTTCCTGGATTGGTCAATAGTTCCCACATTACTTGCTTTGTTTAGACCTCGTACTGCAGCCATCACATAATATGAACCACTTTGCTTCTGAAAAAGGACTTGGTCATTTCCTAAATAACAGAGTGGTTAAGTACAGGACTGGACTGGGTAACTGTGGCAAAGACAGCTGTTATTTTATGTGAATATAATAATTACAGGAAGCCATGCTTTGATTAAAGGCATTGGCACCTCCTTTGCAAACATTTATTTGCTGGTTCTTAAAGCTTCAACTGCCAATGTTTTGCTGATTTTAATAATTAAAGGGAACAGGTCTAATTATATATAGAACAATGTTCTTATTTGTTTTGTATTTTCTGTTTGAAAAAATCAGAGACTAGTACAGATGTCTACATTTTATTTGTTAAAGGGCTTGCATGACAATGAAAAAATAGTTGGATTTTAAAAAGCTGAAATTTGAGAATAATTTTTGGATCAAAATAAAACAAGAAATTATCATAATCAACATATGTATTCAAGGATTGCTATCTGATTAAAAAGAAACCCTTCTATTTCTTCCCTTTAAATATCACATTAAACTAATTAAGGGAAACCATAGTTCATGCTTTTCATCATCCTATTTTTTTTTAACAGTAATGATTAGATGTATGAAGTGCTCATGATTTCTAAAGCCCTTTTGTATGCATTTTATATTTGATTCTGTATAAACTTAAGTTGGTAGGTATGTGTAAATTTCATATGGATAATAGATACTGACAAAGAAATTTAATTTTGAAGTACAGAGAAATAAATAGATCAGTAAGATTCAAACACTAGAATGTTCTTCACTGGTACATCTTTTTACTGGTTCCCTTGGTTTGGGGGTTTTGCTTTTTCTTAAAATAAAACATATGTGTAGTTCTTACTCAGGATGCTCTTGGATAAAAGTGATTAACTCATTTAGAGTAGTTTGGTGCCGTCTGTCCTGTATGCCTTTGTTGTTCAATCAGAGGTAGCCATCTGCTTAGTGACAGAAGCCAGGCCTTCATATTAGTGATGCAGAGCCCTTTGTTCCTCAGTGTCTGGCCTGAGGTGTTGGTGTGTGATGTCCTGTGGAGGGAGATTTTCTAGGCTAACTAAATTAATAATTCAGCCCGTCTTGTGTTCCTGATTTCTGTGAACTCTGCTCCCTTATGATCTGCTGGGTGACTTGATAAGCAAACAACCATATTTGCAAGCATGATCTTTTTGCAGTTTGATAGAACCTGATTACTACTGGCTGTCTCCAAGGTGTAGGAATGTGAAGGCAGTGAGCATGCCAGTCCTACCCAGGGTGTTATCTGTCTGCACATTGCCTTCTATGCAATCTAGAGTTCATATGGCACTTGAAAGGTATGGATGAATGTCAAGGGGAGGCAGATGAATGAAGAGAGGAGAATGCAGCCATAATATTCAATACATATCCTACAAGGTTAAAAATGATGGAGAGAGGGGATAGATTGGGTTAGATGGGGGAGAATGATTAAAGGAGTGATAGCAATCAAGATGCGTTGTATTTACAAACTGAATTGTTGAATTGTAACTCCTTTGTACAACTGCTTAAAGATAATAATGATATAATTTTTTAAAAGCCCAGTCTATATGAAGAGACAAAAAAAAACAAAACCAGTCTTATGTTTTTATTTACCCTGTCTAAGACAAGACTTCAAACCCCGTCATTCTACTTCCATTGTTTTTTTATTGATTTATTTATTTTATTATTGTGAAAATACCATACAGAGGGGTTACAATTACATGAGCAAGGTAATGAGTACATTTCTTATCAAGCATTGTTGCCACCTCCTTTGTTTCCCCTTCCCATCCCTTCCCATCTCCCCTCCTCCCCTCCCCCTCCCTCTTTCATTGTTTTCATTTTTGTTGTTATTTGTTTTTAGCTGGTACTGGGGTTTAAACTCAGAACCTCATACTTGCTACTCTGGCACTCTACTGCTTGAGCCATACCTCTTGCCCTGCTTTTTGCTAGTTATTTTGGAGATACAGCCTAGTTAGCCTGTTTCTGCCTGGATTGGTTTAAAACTATGATCCTATAGATCTCAGGCTCCTGAGAAGCTAGGATTACAAGGGACTGGCACTCATCCTCATAAATTTATAAGACAGAACAAAAATAATACTTTGAAAACCCTAGAAAGCATTTCAAGTATTGATGTGTCACATAGAAGCTTCTGGATACAGAAAGAACCTGAAGGAAAAGTCAGTCTGGATTAAGTAGGAAGATGAAGTCTTTAGGGACACTAGACAATGGTAAAGAAAAAAAGAAATCGTAAGCTGCTCAAAAGAAAATAGATATAAAGGCTTTGCCTCCTGAGGCCTCGGTTTCGCAGTCCTGTTTAGATGGCAGAAAGTTTTGAGGGCTACTGTAGCTGCCATCAGCTGAGTGCAGGCGGTGCACAGCTGAGAGATGGAGAGATGGCTGTCCTGGGAATGCTGCCAGCTCTGTGGAAGAGTCTTGTGGTGCTGTTTCTCACGGTCTCTGTTTTGGTCAGCAGAGCTCACACAACACTGCTAGTGTGCTGTAGTCTATGACAGCATTGAGCAAGGCCTAACTTCGAGGGAAATAAGCAGCTCTCACAGTTCTATAAAATCAGTCATGGGAATTCTCAGAACAGGCCTAAGTATTCTTTCAGAAATGATAGAACATAGCTGTTAGGAGTTCCATGTGGCCTTTTAGGTCTATAGCTTTCAATATTTGCTTTGTTTTCCAAGTTACGACTTGATGTGCCATGCTTTTAACAAGCAAAAGTCTTAGCATGATAAATATTTTTTATGCAAAAGCAGCCCACAGGCTTAGGACAATTATCATTATGTGCATTCCACAGACTTGTGACTTCTGAGTTTTAAACATGTATATACCGCTTGTACCACTGAAACAGAACAGAGGTGCACATGCACGCACACACTTGCACATGTATGCACACACATGCTCTTGGGCATGCCCATACGCATATGTCCTTCTCAAAGACAGTAATAGCAGAAACAGTCATGCATTCTTCCTGCACCGCCCCAGGGTGGCCGTTGGCTCTAACTGCTTGTGGCTGATAGTGAAGAGGTCTTCAAGGAGCTTTCTGTTCTTTTTCCCACAATATGAAAAATCTGACTACATTCTGCTGAGAACCTTTCTTTCACTGTTTCCTTTCATACAAAAAAGGTCAATTCCTGGCATGGGGCCCTGACTGCTTGGTGAGCAAGACGAAAGAAAGTCAAGAAATTTCCATTACGCCCATTTGGGTTTGTGTAGAGCAGTGTGTAAACTCAGCCGCCTGTGTCCGCCCTCTCTCTGGTGCCAGGCTGTTCTTCTTTCTGGGGCTGGCTTCAAAGCACTAAATAAATCTGAGAGTCATGTGTCCTGAGTCTCCCTAATCTCTTACCCTTTGAACTTGCTTTACCCAGATAGAGCTAAAGGCTGTGCTGGACTACCTCCTGACACTGCTCTCAAGTGCCCCACTCTCTGCCATGGATCTCCAGGTGGCCTCTGTCCAGAGCAGCAACGAAGACTCCAGATCACTGGTATGTGGACAGCTGGTCAGATGCCTCATCCTGAACTTCCTGCTCTGGGCTCCAGAATGCCATGCAATTGCCCAGGAAGCTATCACCCTTGTAAGTTCTCTTTTCTGAAATCCTAGTTCACATTTATGACTCATGTATGGGGTAAGTTATCTGCATGAGTCTATCCTGGCATTGGAGAGCATAAGCTCAAGATATTGCCCCAACATGGATGAAGGTCAGTGAGGTTGACAGCTAAGGTGGATCCCAGAGCCTGCCTGTGCAACACCTCATGTCATCAAGGGGAAAGAAAACTACACCTTACAGGTCCCATGTCCTTCCACAGGGCCCATGGGGAAAGCCCACATGCCATTCTTTCCATTAACAGTCATTGAGCACTTGCTTCTCCAGTGAGCACATGCTCATACCAGCCATGATGCCAGTCCCTGAAACCAAAGAATCTGGTTTAAGAAAAAAATGAATTTTATAAAGAAGTCCAGATGATTTTATGGTTAGAGTGGTATAAGTTAAAAGTTGGCATCATTCATGACATTAGATTTTATAGTAATTTCTTGGCCACCAAAGACATAGGCAACAGAAGGAAAAATAGATAGGTTGGACTTTATGAAATCTAACTTTTTTTTTTGTCGGCCCTGGGGCTTGAACTCTGAGCCTTTCCCAGCCCGAAATCTAACTTTTATGCAGCAAAAGATAAAATGTAGACAATTCTCAGTATGGGAGAAAATATTTGGAAATAGTATGTCTGGCAAGGATTTAGTGTGCAGAATATAAAGAAAATTGTTCCAACTTAACAACAGAAAGATAACCCAGTTCAAAAATTAACAAAGTAGGGCTGGGAAAGTGGCTCAGTGGTAGAGTGCTTGCCTTGCATGCATGAGGCCCTGGGTTTGATTCCTCAGCACCACATAAGCAGAAAAGGCCAGAAGTGGTGCTGTGGCTCAAGTGGTAGAGCTCTAGCCTAGAGCTGAAGAGCTAAAGTTCAGCGCCCAGGCCCAGAGTTCAGGCTCATGACCAAAAAAAAAAAAAAATGGACAAAGGGTTTTAATAGACATTTCTCTAAAAAAGATGTACTAATGGACAGGAAGTGTTTGAAAAAATATGTTCAATAGCATTGGTTATTACAAAATCAAAAGCACAATGAGAATTGGGCATGGTGGTACAAGCCTGTATCACAACAGCAGAAAGATCCCAAGAAGTAGACCAGTCTGAAAAAGTTAGTGAAACTGTTAGAAACAAAATATAACAAAAGAAAAAGGGTGTGTGGCCCAAATTCTAGTATAGTACTTGCCTAGCAAATGTGAGGCCCTGGGTTCAATCCCAGTACTTCAAAGAGTTGCATCCACTAAGACAGCTATTAACAGAAAAAAAAGGTAAATGTCATTGAACATTAAAGAAATCAGAATACTCAAACATTTTGTTAGGAATGTTAAAATGATACAGCTATTGTGGTAAAAAGCTTGGCAGTTACTCAAAACATTAAAACACAGAGTTGTTACCAAAAGACTTATACCCACTCCACATCTATGTATGTACCCCAAGTAGAGCTTGGACAGGTATTTGTATACAAGTCTTTGGAGCATCATTATTCACGGTAGTCAGAAGGTGGAAACAACCAAGTACCTATCAGCACATGGATGGAAAAACAAAATATGCTCTTCTAGACATGGAGAAGGTTAAAAAGGAAGGAGGTTCTGGCATGTTGATGTAGATGAACTTTACACTATGCTGACCCTATCTACAATAATCAAATTCATGGAAATGAAATATTGAAAATACTAAATATTTAGTGAATACTTTGTTGGAGATTATGAACAGTTCTGAAGATGGATGGTGGTGATGGTTATACAACCCATTGTGAGTGTACTTCATATTGCTGAATTATAAAAATGGTTGCAATGGCAAATTTATTGTGTATATTTTGCCATCATTTTTAAATGCTCATGTCAAAAGTACGCACCAGCATTGCCAATTCTAGACATTCTGTTTTATTTTTGGTTTCATTTTTAGTTTTTATTGCATACAATATATAGCTTGATACATTTTCACAAGCCAAAAATACTATACAGGAGCAGCCAAATCAAGAAGGGTTTGTTCCCAAAGTCCTCCAAGCACCACCCCTGTCCAGAGCAGTCTGTTTTGGAATGTGAATGTGGATACAAGGAACATCCCAGTGAGAAATGAGAAGATGAGCACCAGAAGTGGTCCTCCACCTGGGTGGGAGGGTGGGTGTGGAGCAGGCCAGTCTATTGGTCCTCAGCTCTTGTGTGTGTGTGCTTGGAGGACTAGACTCTCATACACTAGTGCTTTCTCCTCAGGACCAGCACAAGAAGACTATTGGGACTCTCACACTAGCAATAATACCAACCTGGACGGCATGATTGCTAGGTGAAATAGACACACTCAAAAGACAAATTGTGCCTGATGTCAGCTAAACGTGGAGTCTTTAAAAAGTCAAACCCAGAAAACAGAGTAGGATAGTTACCCGGAATAAGCAGAAGACACACACTATTGTAGTTATCAGACAAACATGTTCTGGAGAAGTGAGAACGATAGTTAATAGTCACTGATGGAAACTGTTCAGAGTAGTTTTTAAGTGTTCTCACCATGTACGCATGTGTGTGCATGCATGCACATGTATGCACATACACACACACACCACTGTGAGGTGGTTGTTGTACTACTCAGCTCTGTTGTGGCAATGTCACCCTTATACACCTGGGAGGGGGAAGACAAATTGCAACACAAAGCACGCAAATATGAAAAAAATACTTCCTTTTGAGTCTATTTGGGGTAGGAGAACTCCATACTTGAGAGTCAAACACGGAATTCTGTATAAACAACCAGCTTCACCCCTGCTGGGTCTGTATTTTAATAGCCGCCTCACAGCATCTGCCTCAGCCACAGTCAGTGTCACATTGACGGAACAGACCTTTGATACAATGTGATTAAAATGTTGCTTTGTCTTGGAGATTTTCCTCCCAGAAATATATAGTTCATATGTAATGGGGAAAAGATCAGACAAACTGAGGATATGCAACATTTCTGACCAACCCTCTTCAAAACTGCCAAGGACCTCAAAGCAAGAACATCCATCATAGTCACAGCCAAGAGAAGCCCAAGGAGGCATTACAACTAAATGTAATGTGGGATCCTGGAAATCAGGAGAAAGTTTGGGCTTCTGTCAATAATATCCTATCGCTATGGGTTCATTAATTATGATACTTGTGCCATACCCATTTAGACGTTGTATGGTGTAAATGAGAACTCTGTGCTATCTTTGTAGTAACGTTAAAACTATTCTGAAGTTATTTTAAAAGTTAACAGCAGCCATTCTTGACTTAAGTATTGGCATTTTTGTCATGACTCACCACACCTGTGGATGGAGCCCTGGCCTCGCTAATTCAGATGCTACTTCCCAGGATGTCTTCCCCTGCTCTGTTCCCATCCTAGTTGTTCCCACCCTGGGAGTGCAGAAGCTGCCTGACCTGAGGGTGGCACTCACCGGTGGAGGAATTAGTATGGGACTTCGGTGAGAGAAAGTACCCCAGAAAAAGCTCCCGGAGACACCAAACTCGCCACCCATTGTTGCTACCCTATTTCCATCAAGTCAGAGGAAACAATCCACATTGAAGGTGGCCCAGCTCATCCACGGAAAAAGGACTGGGACTAGAGAAATTGAAGTTTGCTTCCTAGGTAGCAGCCTGTTTGATTGATTCCAGCGGACTCCCAGCCACACATTACAACACTGCGCTCTAAATCTAGGACTGCAGGAGCACGGAAGACCCCAGAGCCTCTCCTTCAGACCTTGTAAGTCAGTTCAGCTGTGAAGAATACAGAGAGAATGCATAGCAGAAGCACACTAAAGAGATGCCATGTTCACCTTTACACTGTGGTTTCCCAGTAGGTGGGCACTCTGCTGGGCCTCTCAAGGCTCATCCATCCCAAGGACCACCAGGGTGCTGTCCTTATAGATGCCCTGAGCTCTTCCCAGCCTTCCTGACAAGGAAGTCCCACCTCAGTGGCTACAAGAGCAGGTGTTGTACTCCAGGCTTGTCAACCACCAGCAGGACAGGTGAAAGGCGTCCTTTCATGGGCTTCTCACCACTTCAGTCTCATCATTTCGTTGCTGCCAGCTCCTGGAAGATGTCTTGGACACCTGCCTGGCCTTGGATGTATGGTGGACTGGTGGTTCTGGTGCAGCTTTAATGTGAGCTCTGAGAGTACACAAAGAGCCAGCCCCTTCTCAGCTTGGAGCCTGGGCCTCTGCCCTTTGCTGCCAGCTTTGAAGAATTATGCCGATTCAAGCCAGAAGGAGGGCGGCCTGCAGAGGGCAGTGGTCACTTGTCCCATCAGAACCCTCGCGCTGCCTAGCCTGCCTTGGCTCCATTCAGCCTTCAGGATACTGACCTCCAGCCTCGCCTTATCCCGCCACGTAACAGCTACCTGGGCTCAGGCCAGGCTTCCCTTTTCCAGCTCCCACAGCCTTGCCCGGGCTTCACTTCTCTGCCCTTGGCCTTTTAATAAAAGCCACCACTGACTTCAGGACAAAGGGCTCCTGCTTCTCTGGTTCAGGGTCTTGCTTCTGCCCTCTCCTTGCCAGCACTTCCCAGCTGGTGCTGGCAAAGGTGAATGCAGCACAGTAGTCATGTTTGGAGTCTCCTACAACTGTCCTATTCTCATTCTGTGTCTCTCATGTTGCCCTGTCTGTGCAGCTGGGTGACAGCAGCAACTTAGGAGGAATCTGAAATGCAGAGATCATTTGTATAGTCACTGCATTTAATGTGCAATAATGTGGGTACACACCCACCTCAGCCCAGGCCATCAAAGATATGGGGTTTTGTGTGCGTGACCCAAAGCCCTCAGGAATGCATGAAGTTGGATGGAGAGTGTCTGCTGGACCATTCTAGAGCACAGTGGACCCCTGTGAGCAGGAATGTGGCCTGTCCCTAAGCATGCACATGGATTATACCCACATGGATTGCAATTTAACTCCTAGAAAGCATCAAATGAAGCTCATACTGCTACTGAAGAACAGTGTGCATCTGATGGAGGTCACTGCACCCCCACATGCCCATGGTTCTAGGTATAAACCAAGCAGTGATACTGAAGGGAAGACCCCACCAAAGATGCTGCCTCACCCTGCAGAGCCTCGGCCCCACTGGACTTGTCTCAAACCCTGTTCCCTGAAGAGGGATGGCCACGTCATCTCCCAGCTCCGAGTCCCTCACTGCAGCCCATGCAGTGCGCATTAGACAACTCTGATTTATTGATGGCCAGGAGATGGGATACCCACGGAAGAATGGTACACTGGGCTTTAAATGCCAGAAGTGGAAGTTGCAGGAAAGCCAGGACAGCTGTCACCATACCAGAAAGGCCCTGTTGATCCGAGGTTGCTCTGGCTTAAACATTTGCGGGTCCTTTGTGTGTGACACACACACAAAATGAATGTCTGTCTTGTTCTTGTAAAAACTTACAGCTTCTTGATTGTTCTTGTGCCTTAAAGAAAAAAAATCACAGTGAATTCTTTACCCAGCTTACTTGTGAGATCTTCACCCCTCCCTTTTTTTCTCAACTGTAGTTCTTAAGAAAACTTGGGCACCAACAAATAAATGCCCCAAGGCTGTTAAAATTTAGCAGAACTAACAATGCCTGTGCTTCCTGCCTCTGTGTAGGAAGCAGGTGTTAAAACCTTAGATGCCTATTTAAAAAAACAAGTGGGATGGCTGAGGAGTGCCATTATAAGACTATTCGTGTGGAAACAGGTGTCATTTTCTAGTCCTCATGGTAGTGTGAGCTTGTTGCAGAAAGTCAAGCCACAGCACGCTTTGCTTTTGCACCTCATGGCAAATAATCTCGCAGCTTGGGAATCATTCTGGGAAAGACTATTTCCCAGCAGTGCTTATTCGTAGCCTCTGTGAGGCTAAGGTGGAGTGGCTGGCCCATCTGGGGAGGGTGGTCACAAGGAAGTGGCTGGGCTCTCTGTGTATTGATTGCAAACAAAACAAGAGCCGTTGGTGCTTTTCCTTAGGTCTGGTGGTATTGTGCTACTTTGCAGGGTCAGGAGCATTAACTTTAGTTTACTACCGGATAGAGGACTGTGCTGGGAAGGGTTTTAAATTTGCCTTCTCTGCTTCCTTCACTGCAGATGGCGCACAATGAAGAGATAACTCAAGAGATTATTGGCTTTCTTCACCAGACCTTGTACAGATGGGAGCATCTTGGCCATGAAGCCCTGAGGTCAGGAAAGCTAGCCAGAGAGCTCCTTCAGCATCTGCAAGCTCAAGTGTAGCAAGAAGCACGCTGCATGAGGGTTTGCCAAGGCCAGGGACAGGGGATGTGACACTGTGGATGGCCACCATGTGTAGAGTGAGGCCTTTGAGCTGTGAGTACGAGGCACACGTATGTTGGAATATTCTGGTTGCACATATCTTACAGAATGAGAGGTATCTCAGCCCACTCAGCCAGATCTGGTCGGTGAGCTCAGCTCTGCAGCTGTTCAGCCCAGCTCTAGTCAGAGAACTGTGAAGCAAAAGGCCTAAGTGGGAGGCAGGTTCAATTTCCTTTTAACTCACATCAATCTTAGAGGCACCATATTTGAATGATTCAAAGTCTCTGAACCAAGAAATTGGTCTTAAAGCACTGGACAGTTTAGAGAATAACTTAGCCTATGCCCACAAATTATTGTTCAGAAGGGAGGGATCTGAGGTGAAGGCACACCATCTTGGTTCCCTAAGGAATTCATTGCTCAAGTTTCTCTCAGGTTGAAGTAAGCAAGTGGCAAGTGGTGCTGGCCACCAATGGAGAGAGAACAGCAGCTTTTAGTGAAATACCAGGCCCAGAGCTTGAGGCTTTGCCTGCTGCAACCACAGACAGGGCTGACAGGCAGGGCAGAGGACAGGCTTGTTTGATTAAGGTGAACTGGGATCTGGAAATTCTTAAGAAGGAATCCGTCATCCCGTGGTTGTTATTCATTCCACATCAGTTAGGGGTTTTCTTCTCAGATTCATTCTTGTATTGACCACAGATTCTTTTGTTTGTCTGCCATGTGATTAAGACCTTTTTATGTCCATTCTGATTTATGTATTGGGAGTCTTGAAATCCTGGCTCCTGTTTGAAGTATGAATAAGGTTTATGGGAATAGAGGTTAACCTTTGGGGGAATTACTAATTTTGCTGGATGGCAGTGCTAATGGATCTACTTGATAATCTGGAACATTCCAAGAACTTTTGACCTAAGCCTTTCTTCTGAGAAACTTACAGTATAAAGGCGTCCTTGTGGATGCTCTGATCACAGCCACCTTAGTCACTACTTCCTCGGGAGTGCACTTCATCAGAATGCTCTCCACTTGGAGAAGGAGGTTCCGTGCTTCACGTGGGAGTTGAGGATGTTTCTTCTCCGGTTACCTTTGAACCAGGCAGTGGTTCCTTCATTGAAACTGATCAGCCTCTGTGGCCATAAAAAAAAAAAAAGAGGCTCCATTTGGGGAACAGCAAGGATTCCCCAAATGAGGAGGCACGAGTAATTCCATCTCCCTGGGGAAATCTGGAGGCATGGTAATATGCTGATGCTAGAGTTCCCCAGCCCACCCATCGGTCCTCCTCGCTTCTTTCACAGCAAATGGCAAAAGTAAGACTGTTGCCAAGCTCAGAGCAGCTGTCTTCCCACTCTTGGGAGGCTGGCGGGGTGTTATCTCATCCTGACATGGCCCCGGGCCTCTGGCTTGTGCGAACGCTCACTGTCTATGAAGATGTGAGTCCCGAGCAGCAGGTGCTGGCTTGTCTATGGATTCTTTCCCCCTTACTCTGTCCTGTCCTGCCCTGAAGAAAGTGCCAAGGAGGGGACAGTACTCAGAGGTCAGGAAAAGGCAAGCCACACAGGGTAAGGCTGCTTCATACAGGCGAGACTCACCTCCAGAGGCCCCAGGCCTCTGTGCGCAGGCACAGCGAGCTGCATGGAGGTGAAGGCCACCATCCCTTCCACTGCAGTGGAGAAAACAGGTCTCTAGAATTGGCATGAAGGGGCCATGGGAAGGTGACAAGACATACTTTCCCCTGCTTCCTAGCCAGCTCACCCCTAACCACGCTTGAGAGCTTGAGAGAAGGCTGAAAATTACATAATAAACTCTACCTTCTCTTGCAGTTGCCTTAGATTTCTAGAAAAGTCTGGACACTTGAATTCTTGCAGCTTTTTTTTTTGCAAGAAATTCAAATAAATACACAAATAACAGTCCATGACCCAGGAAGGCCTCCCAGCTTCGCTCCTTCGTGTGGGCTTCCCATATGAGGCTGTCCACACACAGTACGCAGATGAGCCAGGGCGCCTTTAGCTTCAGTTCCCAGAACGTCTACCACATCTTTAGTGGTGGCCTTGGTTGCAGAAAGCCAGCTCATTAGGCCACTTAGCAAAAAGGTAGCCGGGTTGGAGATCTGGTTTTCTCTTGGCATTGCAGAAGGTTCCGGACCTATGCCCTCCTGACAGCATCCAGAGACAAGGACAGATGGTAGGCTCTCCTCGCCTGTCCACCAGCCCACCGACTTGCCCCACTTCACTGACAAACTGCTCAGAAGGAAGTGTGGCAAGAATTTGTTCTGTTGTTGTTTTGGGTTGTTATTGTTGTACATATAAAGTCAGGTTATACCTAATTTTGTATTTATCCAATCCTATAGTCTTTCTCTCAAAAACAATAAATACTTCCCTCTGCCTTGTAAGTTTAGAAGCTTCAGGTATCACAAAAGCTAAACCTGGAAAGGCTCAGTTATGGCTCAGCACGTGAGGAAGGCATCTGAGTGCGCCGAGCCTCTTTGAGGAGTCCTGCTCCTAACTCTGCGGCTTGCACTAGCTCTCCACCCATTTCCCTCTGGTGCATCAGTGCCGGGAAGAAATGGGAACTAGAAAAGGGAAAGGAGGAAGACAGGTTTTCCGTTGGATGGAGTCAACCAGAGGCAGCTGGAGCCGCCGGGAGCCCTGGCAGTGAGCCTGGCCAAGAGCCACCACCCCTCAGTGCCGCACCAAGATGAACCCGGATTGGTGCAGGGTGAATTAACCTGAGAAATGACTTCTTATAAGGAATCCAAGACGATTCTGCCTGCATAGGAAGAAAGAGACTGTCTCCCTCAACCCATCACCACCTCACCTCTCCCAGGGCACAGTAATGGACATTGTATTTTAACATGGAGTCTTTGGATTTTATTTAAAGAATAAAATTGCCAAAGAGACAGTTGCATATATAGGAACTTAATGGGCAGTGTGGTAGCAAATGAGTTGGGCCTCAGGCAAATAAACCTTCAAGAATAAAGTGCCTGGCTTTTGCTTCCCAAGGCTGGCATCTACAGGACGGGCCTGGGAATGTGTGCTTTCCCCAGGGAAGGCGCTGCCAGAACTGCTCATGAACTGAGGAGGGAGGGGAGGGGGTGATAAGAAGGCTCTGGAATGATGGTATGTTACTTGGAAAAATAAAAGTGTATAAATAGAACTTCCCTATTCACAAAATGTAGAATTCTCTGATCTTTCATTTAGAACTTCCAGCTCATCTTTTGGTTTGCATTCCAGCCCCTGCCTTCCCCCTCCCCTCCCTTGCATACTCACATCCCTGCCTGGGCCACAAGGTCAAGATCCCAAAGGCCATTGCTGCTGAGAGGAGACCCCAGACCTGGCAGGGAAGTGTGGAGGGGAGAGGGAAGAGGATGTGCGCCCAACGCTCTAGCCGCCTCACAGACACACTTCTGAGCAGCCTCCAGCTCCCCCAGCCTACACCCTGAGGTTGAAAAGAGTACAGCCTAAATGTCATGAAAAACCAGGAAACCACAGAAGATAAGACTGATAAAAGTGGACAGACACATAGAACACCAAACAATCAGAAAATCAAAACAATTAATAAACTAGGGGACAATATTTGCAACATATATGACAAAGTAATTTTCTGCCTTCTAAACTTCTCCTACAACTTAATAAGAAAACACCACCAACCCAAGACTTGTGAAGGATGGAAACACTGCATATAATTAATAGGACAAATATAGATGACTTTCAAGAAATTAAAAAAAGTATTTAACATAACTTATGGGAAGTGTGAAATAGTATAACTGTTTCCATATCAAGTGGGGAAAATTAAAGATTGTCCCTGCTGTATTTGAGACAGTGCAGAGAAATTCTAGAGGCAGGTTTTCACTGCCAACATTTTCCTAGGAACAGTGGAGTCACAGACTTATGATGCAATTTCACGGTAGCCACATAGCCAAATGATGTAAAGTAGGAACTCCAGGAGGTAGGTGGATGCCCATGTACACTGAAACAATGTAAAATAGCCAAATCCTGTGTCCACCAATAAATGAGCAGATCAAGTACAGTAGCAAACTCCATGGAATATCATTCAGCCTTAAAAAGAATTCTGATACTAGCCACAATGTGGGAGACTTTATGCGAAGTTACACAAAACAGATATGAAATGACAATTAGAAAACTCAGAGAAAGTGGAATGGTGATTGCCAGGGACACAGGGGAACAGGAGGGGGGAGGGAGTATTTGATGGATAGTTGCAGCTTAGGAAGATGAAATAGTTCTGGAGATAGATGGTCACGACATTGCACAACAATGTAGATGCAATTAATGATAAAATGATAAATTCTTCAGTATCAATATTTTTACCACAAGAAAACACTTGATTTAAAGCATATAGCCTTTTACCCTGTAACAAAAACCCAGTTCTTCACACTCCTGCCTTTCTGCTATATTGAACAAATCTAAGAATTTCCTCACAATGCCTCGAGAAGTACAGAGTGCCCCAGGTTCTTTACCTGAACAGTGCTTCAGATACCCGATCACAGAAAGCGACTTGGTTCATCAATAGAGTTCTGGCAAGATAAGTTTGTGGAAGGGGAGAGAGAGAAGCATATAGTTTCATGCTTGAGGCAAGTCCTGTTGCCAGGATTTCACCTAAATCAACTCTAATACAGCCAATTATCTACTTCTTACAGACAAATTGAGTACACGGGTTAAAAAAAGATTGCCCACAGTTGAATCTCATGGAATGCTGCTACTATCAAGTCTGAGGTGTTCATGTAATGGTGCCATTGCCATAGAGAAGCCAAGTTAGATGCATGTGCAAACTGTTCTACTTGCCACTGTTACATGGAGAAATCAAAGTGCAGTCCTTTTTGTATCCCTTTGTCTTGTCCATGGACTCAACGTTCAAGGATTAAAAATACTTGGGAAAAAATAATTGTGTCTAATGAACTTGTATAGGCATTTTTCTTGTGAGCACTTCCTAAATCAAATAGTGACAGCTATTTCAACAGTGTTTACATCTTAGGGGGCATTCCAAATGATCTAGGGATGATGTGTAGGTTGTATGCATGGACCACACCATCTTATATAAGGACACATACAGTGTAGACATCTGTCTGCATAGCAGAGTCTTGGATCTGATCCCTCAAGAACACAGAAGACGACTTGGTTGTACCCACCTTCAGCTATAAAGCATGGAGTGTCTTGTGTGTGTGGAATATGACTAAATATCTTCTGGGGAGCAGATTCATTACAGTGATGGGCTTCATGAAGGGATAGGGTGATGGGAGAAAAAGTTTGCATATTATTTCTTTGCATATTTTATCTACTAGAAAACAGTGGTAGGGAAGTGGCGCTGTGGCTCAAGTGGTAGAGCGCTAACCTTGAGCTGGAGAGCTGAAGGATAGCATTCAGGCCCAGAGTTCAAGCCCCATGACTGACAAAAAACAAAAACAGTGGTAGCCATCAGTACCCAAAAGAAGACTCCTGTTTGTTCTAAGAGGGGCAGTAGGATGAAGTGAGGAAGAATAGGCTGGCATCATCTGCAGCTTGAAAGAAGACATCTACCTCTGTCCCCCATGCTGTAGTCAGCATGGTGGCACTTTTATTACTTATTCCCAGGACTAACATTCTAATCTTGGACAAAGAACCTTTTAAGAAAACATGATGCTCCATATGGCCAGATCCATGTGTCCTGATATGTACACTGAGGACATCAGCTTCTTGAGCTCTTAGGTTGGAGAAATTTGTGAGTCATGATCCACTTCCCAGGGCTTCCTCTGCCATCTGTCTACTCTGTGCTTGCTAATAATCAGACACAGCCTTCTCCACACCCAGGTGTTCTGAGACCACCAGCTACACTTGTCTCTTCTTCAACATGCTTATCAAAACAGAAAACATGGTGAAACTGAGTTCCTTCCCCTGAAATTGTCTGCCAACAGCTCAACATAAATGCACTTTCCCACTGCACTAGAAGACACTAGAGCTGGCTCCTACTTTCTTTTATTTCTCACATCGTTCTTGTGTATCTGGATCCTCCCCTCTCACGTAGACTGCTGTCGAATTCCACACACAGGTAGATGCTGGAGTCAGAAGTGGCGACCTGAGGGATCCTGTAAAGAGCACAGTAGGTTAGCCTGAGACTGCCAGGCTTCTTCCTGTCTTTCAAAACCTGCCACAGATGTCCAACTGAGTCCACCACAGTTGTGCTCCCTGGAATCTGTCAGGCCTTTCATATTAACTGAGGACTGCTAGAATGGAAAAGAACTTTCTCAAACTCTGGATTCTTGACAATGCTGTCAGGACCCAATCATAAGCAGTCATTGCGCCTCACCTACCACATCACAGGCCCTGGGCTGGCTGACCAGCAAGCCCTGTCCACAAGGGCCAAGGCTGAAACATTTCTGGTGACTTATTAAAGTAGAAGCCGATAGAAGGAGCACATTCAGTCTCCCATGTCTCAGAGCCACAGATGAGGTGGGGAAGATACAGGAAGTTTCTCCCTAAGGGCCTCCTAGCCATTCTGGTTCCTCTTCCTGTCAGTGGCTAGATGACACTGTGCAACCAGACACTGCTTAGGCCTAGGCCAGCTACAGGAACCCTTGTTTCCAAAGCATTTTGCCCTGGTGCCCACCCATATAGATCCTTGGGGCTAAGAAGCCAAATTCTCAGTTGTTTTCTGTCAAACAACACTGCAGTGACCAGGTTTGGCTTTTGTGAGCAGTCTGGGGGGTCAGAGGTCTTTGTATTTCCATGCTTGGCTTTGTACCCAAGCCACCCAAGCATGTGTGCACATCTAGACCCATGTGTGTCTCCAGGGCTCACCAGCTCTCAGAGGTCCCACCCTCATGAGCATGCTTGAGAATAAGGGGTGAGTGTAAGGTCCGCCCCTGGATGGCGAGCAGACTCCACCCTCCTCGCAGCAAAGTCTCCACCCATTACCTGCGTTACCTAGGCAACTGGGACACCTGGAAGAGGTCACATCTGCATCCGCTGAGGTCACATCCGAATTTGATGTGGCCACACCTTTCCCCGCCCATACCCTAGGTAAGACCTAGCGCAGGCCCAGGCGCGCTCTCTGCCTTTTTCTAGCTCTCTCTCTCCCTCTCTCAGTTCTTTTCTAGCTCTCTTGCTCTTGCTCTTCTTTTCTAGCTCTCTCTGCTCTCTCTCTGCTCTAGCTCTTTCCTCTTCTTTCCCAGCCACGTGGAGTGCAAACCTTGCCTGGTCCCAGCAGGTCTACTGAATAAACCTACCCCTTACCTGAATACCACGTGAGTGCTACTGTTCTTACCCCTCTCTCTGCTCTTTTCTAGCTCTTTCCTCTCTTTCCCAGCTCTCTCTCATTCCCAGGCCTTTCCCAGCCACGTGGAGTGCCAACCTTGCCTGGTCCCAGCAGGTCTACTGAATAAACCTATCCCTTACCTGAATACCATGTGCGTGGTGCTGTTCTTACTCACCTACCTCTTTTTAAAAACCTAACAGTGAGTAGGTAAGGCCCCTTTCCCAGCCCCCGAGCCTGAGAGTGGGCTCCTCCTCCTGGTCCTTCTGTGCTTCAGCTGTGAGGATGACTGCCAGTGTCCAGCAGACACCTGTGGCAGCCAGCTATTTCTGGAAGCATTGTGTTTTTATGGCAGCCACCAGATCTTGCCTCCCTTTTTCACACGTTTCTGGTTATGGGACTGGAACAGGAATGTCTTACTAGGCGAGCAGTCTCCCAGACAGTGACAAAGGGTGGGAAAAGATCCATAAAACCTTGCTCTTGAATAGTCCCAAGAGGCCTCTCCTCCCTCCCACCTTGTAAACCAGGGCTGAAGTCATTGTCCTGCATGCAACAGTAGCCTGGGGCATGAAGAATTCATGCCCTCAATGGGCCTGGTCCCTGGAAAGTCCACAAAGCCCTTCCAACTCCCCTTCCAGTCCCTCCCCATCCTCAGGCCCCTAGGCCCTTCCGCCATGTCATAACTGGTTGTGGCTTGTTCCTCCAGAGAACCTGAGATGGCAGCACCTGCTAATCACACCACCAATGCACTCTAATGGCTGCAACCCCATCTCTCTTCCTTGGGAATGGGTGTGGCAGACCTTGCCACCTCAGTAGTGCACTTGCAAGGTCACAGGCTGAAGCACCCCAAGTTCCATGGAAGGTGCTGCAGCGACAGGCTGTTCCTTCCTGGGGTGGATCTGTCTGGCAGTGCCTGGGGGATTCCTGCCCAGTGTGTCCGTCACCCCTCCCCGGAGCCACTCTTCTGGCTGGCTCCAGGCTGGCACGGAGAACCTGGAGCTCTAAATGGGTTGGCTCTGACCCTGTCACCGAGCTTGGCTTTCCATAGTTCAGTGAACTACTGCTTTCCTGGCCTGGACAGCCATGGTGGAGGGAAGTTGGTGGAGTGCTTAAGTCTGTGGCTACTGGCTCTGCCTGTGTGATACCCTGTTCAGCTTAACTTGGGTCAGGAGAGAAGGCCAGGAGGCACCTGAAGCACAATTTTTGGAGCCTTCTTATCTTAAGGGAATGCTTTGGTGGGAAGCCTGGGTTTACTGCCTCTGGCTCTTACACTAGGGACAGTCTGTGGCATCTCTGTACAGGCTTTGAAATCCTTTAATTCCACAGTAGAGGCCAAGATGAAGAAGATGTCTCCTTTTTCTTTTCTCAACATCACCCCCTCACTTCCTGCCTGGGTCCCACAATTCTTAGCACTTTTCTTTCCTGGGCTACTGCCCAAAGCCCTGCAGCCAGTGTGGAGGAGCCCAGGCGTGGGGGTGGGCTTCCAGAGTGACTCTGGCCCCAAGACTCCTGAACATGATAGTGGTGACAGTAGTTGCTTCCCCAGGCCAGGCTAGGAATGGAGACAACACAGGGTGGGGTCACTGCTACTTCTGCCCCATATGAGGTTAGGGGGTAACCTCAGGCACCACTGCCTTGCTTCCCACAGATCTGAGTAGGACTCAGCCCACACCTAGCTACAGATCAGCAATGCCTGTTTTCACCCATGCCAGATTCCTGAGAGAATACTGACTTCCAGTCACAGTTGGCTTCTGGAGAAGGCATGTCAATGCTGGCAGGCTGACTTGCTCCTGAAAGACTAGGCAGATCAGTTTGGGAGGGAGGAGCATTTCCAGTAGCCTCAGTGGGAAAAGGTTGGCCCAGCCATAGCCCCTCGTATTGGAGGAGGAAAACTGCTTGGCAGTTTAACCAGTTTAACTTGCTCAGAGGGCACGAATGCCCCCTTACCATTCTCCTCAGAAACATGCCTAACATCTGAGTTAAAACACTAAGGGTCCTGTGCCTTATGGCTGCTCAGGACAGGTTGGGACCATGGTTCCAGGCTGCTGTTGGGCTATAGGCCACATGGTGCTAGTATCTCAGCCCCACCTAGCCCTGGCCTATGGGAACCTTAGAAGGAGCATAACCACTCCTACACCCAAGTAGGTGAGGAATTACCAGATCCTGCTAGGGATGACAGCATTTTGGGGTCATCCTCACGGTGAACAGAATCCCAGGTGACAGAAGCCTCTGCCTATCCTAGAAGCTGATGGTGACAAGGTGTCCTGGGCTCCTCTGCCCAGCACAGCCACCACCTTGATGATAAAGAAGTTTGTTCTTATCTGTTTGTTACCCTCACATCTGCTTAAGTGTGACAGGGTCAGGACAGAGAGACAACAGGGCTGTCTTGGGTTCCTCTAGAGAAGAGGCTGAGGTGCGGGTAAAAGGTGGCATAGAAACAGGCTAAGAAGACAGGTCTGTACCTCCCACGGGGAAGTGTGTAACTGACTCAAGTTTCCAAGTTCCAAAGCAGGCCTCATCCAGGACTTCCCAGTGAGTTAAAGTGGAGAGTGCTGAAAAAGGCTAAGTCCAGCTGTAAGGGCCCCAGGGGAGCCTCAACAAGGCCTCCGAAAGTGCTATGGAGGCACTGGATGACCCTGTAGTACAGCTCGTTCAGATCCTGCCTGTAACTTCCAATGCAGTTTGGCAGACTGCTCAATCTGCCCAGGCCTTATAGCAGGACTTGGGGTGCTGGACGCATACTTTTATTACCAGCTGTCACCAACACCGCTGTGTCCCTGTCTCCCTGGACCAAGGCATCATTCTTTCTCAAGTCCTACTGGATCTGTAGCACCTCCTGCAGTGCTTTTTGTCTGTCAGATATATCATTTTAAAATGAAGGTGCTAGTTTGTCTAACCCCAGCAGGCACCATTTTTGGATGGAGAGGGCTCTGTCAGCCCTAGCCAAAGGCTCCCTAAAGCTTTTCTTGGAAGATGCTCGAAGGGCAGCAAAGAGAACTCACTCTGATAGCCAGCTGAGCCCCAGGTGCATGAAGTTAAACTAAGTACAGTTATGGCATGGTGGGTTGCTGCTGCCTGGCTTGGCAGCCCAGGCTGCTTCCCTGCTTCCTGCCTGCTCTGGGGCCACTCCAAGTACAGACAGGACTCCCATGTCTGGAGCCAACTCTACCCAAAGAACCTCAGCCAAAGCTACTGACATGGGCCATCAATGAGCCACCAACTACTTGGGCTCTACCACCACTGGCTGAAGCCCAAGTAGTCAAAACAAAATATGGGACTCTTGACTGGTAGAACAAAGGGACTGGCTGCCTGAAAACACACCTAATTAGCAGCTGTTTTAGTGGTTCCAAAAGACAAGCCTTTCACTTTTTTGGAAAGGTTAGACCAGACCAAACCAAACCATGGGCCGCTAAATCACCCACAGTTTGTTGGAGGTACACCAGTAGGCGCTTATAGGACTATGTGATCTATGTTCCTGAGGGCTACCGCCCGCCCAGCTTAAGACAAGTCCAGTGCACTCAGGAGAACCTAGGAGCTAAGTCAGCATTTAGTTGACATTTACTCTAATGTGCAGTTAACATGTTTTGTTTCTTCTACTAATATGGTATCATATGAAGTGTACATGTAAATAACAGGAAAGAACAAATCCCTAGTGTCCACAATGACAGTCTCAGGTATAATAAAGTGAAAGGCTCTGAAGAACAAATCCTCCTTGGCAGGGCTTCTCATAGTGTGTAGCCCAAGAAGCCAGAACACACTGAGCCCCAGCCAAGCTCCAGGAGACACGTGCTGTTCTAGGTTTGCTCTGCCTCATCAGCACATGGCCTCCTCCTGGGCAGTACTAGCAAGCTAATTCCTTAGTGGCTTCTGTCTTTCCTTTTAAACTTCAGTATTTGTGTGACAGAAACAACGGTGTCAGGCTCCCTGTGGTGCCTGGGATGTCATAATCTGTGCACTACCCGAACACTAACTAAACCTCAGCTTCTAAGAATATTTGCATTGCCGTGGAGGCTGCCAAAAACTAGTGAGGTGGGGAGGAATGTTGACATGTGCAGAAGCCTTTCTTAGGCAGTTTTGGTTATTTTTGAATGGTAGCACATTGAAAAGCAAACAAATTTAAATAAATCGATTTCACTTTATTAACACATCTCAGGCTCCTGACTTGTACTTTTACAAAAAGTTATCAAAAGTTTGGAAGACATTAAATGTTGTATGTAGCAATCAAGATAAAACCTTTTGGGAACCTTCCAGGAAGCCTCAGTGTTCAGTGTTCCCAGGACCCAGGAAGCTGTGACCCTCTCTGTGAATCACAAATATCCAGGAGCAGCCACATGCTGAAGGGCCTACAGTCATCCAGCAGGTTCTAAAGGCTCAGTATCTTGAATTTGTATGAGTGGACACGAAGCTTTTGGACCACAGCAGAGATCCAGAGAAGACTCAGTATCTCAGGCAGAAAACAAGCATGGTCAGGCAGCTGCTGGGTGGGAGACTTTATGAGGATCCATCCACCTTTTCTATCTGCCCAGCTGAGCCCAGGCTCTGGGAAAGAGAAGCCCAAGACACAACTTCTGATGTGGGCTGATGGCTTTAGCAGCCACGTAATTCTTCTTTTGATGTCCAGGGTCAGTGCAATCCTGTCCCACCACGACTAGGAGGAGACGTATGAAAGAGAATCTCACTGTGATCTTCCCTGCAAAGGAAACAGCAATAAAATTTATTACCCAGTCCCAACTGAGGAATTCTTGTAAACGAGTACCTTTGTGGGCCTTTGCTCTCTGCTTTAGAAAGAGGACTTTCATCAGAAAACAATGATGAGACCTGGACCGCATCTCAATCCCGGACACAGTACAGTCAAACCAGAGCTCACACATGGCTCTGCAGCCCAGTGGGCTACAAGACAGACATTCACTTCACAGCTGCATCCACTCTGCTTTCAGGAAGTCAAAACTCCATGAGAGATGTAGGCCTTCCCTCTTGTGGGGCAAATACCAAGCTTCAGCACTGACTACGTTCTGCCTTTAATAAAAATGGGAAGTTAATCTTTGGGGCATTAGTTCTATGATATTCCACAGATACCCAAACCACATACAGAAGCACATACAGATGGATCCTGCCGCCGCTGGCCGCCAGGTCTAGTGCTTGATGTTCAGGCCTGTCATCTTGTGTGGGGGAGTCCCATCTTGTGAGCCTCAGGCACTTACAGACAGGCTTTTTGCTCAAGGGCTCGACTCCTGTTCCTGCTGAACTGAGCCAGTGTGTGAAATGAGAACTGATATCAGCTCAGTAGGCACCGGAGGACGGGTCCAATCGACAGCCCGGAGTCGCAGCGCTGCACTGTTAGCCGGGTTCCGCATCATCCCACCAGTGACTGCAGAGACACACAGACCTAGACTGCAAATACAAGAGAGGTGACCCCCACCCAAGAAGGGACAACAGAACCCCCCACTCACAATGCCACTGAGACACGGTTTTGTGGTGCAGTTCGTTTTAGTTTCTTATAATCACTTGCAACTTCAGATAGATGTCTAGTTACTGGATTTATGTTTCTGTTAAGAGCGGTTGGTGCACTGCTTGTATTCTTGACAGGAGTCAGTGCATCCTTTGGTCAGGCTGGTCTCTTGTCCTCCAGGATCAGGCTCCGCACTGAGCTGACCATTCAGTGGCCTCTGCCCCAGTGCCTCCAACTTAACTGTCCCCATCTCACCTTCTCTTCAGGTGCAGAACTTAGCCACTGTGAACAAAGCGGAAATCAATCACTGTTCACCAATCAGCTAAGCTCTGCACCTTGTTAGAGAGGTCATCGCTGGGTATATTAAAAGGCCGGTGAGCATCTTCCAAAGGCGCTGACTTCTTTTGTTTCCAAAGGGCTAAAAGATGCATATGTTCTTCAAACTGCAGAGAAAGAACTGTGGTTTCTGGAGGAGCAGCCAGGGTCATGGTTGCGTGGTAATCCCTGGCAATGTGATTTTAATCTTAATTCACAAATCAGCATGCCAGGAACCCAAGCAGCCAGAGCACTTGAGAGCAGGCTGTGCCTTGCCACTCCTATTCGCATGCACCAGCTTCCTTGGCGCCAACTCCGCCTCCAGGCCTGCTCCACCAGCAAGCCAATGTCCTCTGTTGGTCATTCATCTGGCATTCTAGAGCTATACTCTTTTTTTTTTTTACATAAAAAAGACTCAAAAGACCATAACCATTCAGTGAGGCAGGGTGCTGGTGATTTGTGCTTGTACTCCTTGAACTACTCAGGAGGCTGAGTTCTGATTACTGTGGTTCAAAGCCAGACCAGGAAGACAAATATGTGAGATTCTTATGTCCAGTTAATTAGCAAAAAGCTCAAACAGGAGGTGTGGCTCCAGTGGTAGAGTGCCAGCAGTGAAAAGAAATACCCAAGCAAAAGCTCGAAGTTGTAAAGTACTGGCACCAAAAAAAAAAAAAAAAAAAGCCAATGAAACTTTGAACAGGCAGGAGAAGGATACATGTGACCCAGATACTTCCAAGGGAGGCTATATTTGCCTAGTATATTGCATTTAACCATAGGGATACAATCTCTTCTCCCCGCACAGATTCAGTGAAAGGATGTCCCTGCTAGAGGGTGACTCAGGAGCAACCCATGTTCCCATTGATCACAGGTAGCTGTGGCTGATGTGACGCCTGCAATCAGCCAGAAGGGAAGAGACAGGAACCAGGTGAGTTCAGAGAGGAGTCAAGAAGCGGCAGACTTATGACCAGGACAGCTTCTTTGCCTTAGGGCAAAACAAACAAAAAAACCACAGTCCAGAGTCACAACAGCTATGGGACCCTCTGAGTCGTACTGTAGGTTTTCATGCACTAACACTCTCAATGAACTTAAGTCTCAAGAGAGACAGGACTTTTAAAGGTCTCTACACAATGCTGGTGATGAGCCAGCATCAACTGTTCCTGCTGGTGTGGCATGGGGGCTGTCTGTACATGCCATCTTGCTGCAGGATGTCCACTCATTCAGTTATTCTACTACTTCCTCTTCCTATCAAACATGAGCCCAGACTCTTCTGGGTGACTAAGACCACGCTTCATAAATCCCCCTTTTTTTTCTTCTTCAGATCAGAGTTCTTCCAGGTAAATAAGATAAGCATGTTAGATAAAAGTGGGTTTTTAGAAAACATTAGACATGAACCAGACATCTAGTAATAGGTTAGGATTATCAACACAAGTCTGTTTATTAAATTTTCATTTTAGAGAGCTATATAACAACATGAAAAGTGCTCAAGAATGCTATTCTTTGTAAAGGACACAAAATTTGACATATCATATTCAACTCTGATGATTTTTAAAAGGGAAAAGCACACTGAATAATCCCACAGTTCTACTTTCAAATATTTTTTTTGAACTGCTTAATTACTTTAAATAGCAACTAACTGCTGGGAGTAAATAGCAGGTCAATTCCAGGCACAGTGAACGGAAGCATTTTAAAAGTCTGGGATGTTCCAGTGTATAGGAGAAATTCTCCAATGAAAAATAGAAAATGGGACCTGCCATCAAATCATAGGTATAGTAAGTGAGCAAGTGCAGGGGTGGGGGGGGGGGGGGAAGAGGGGACATGGAAGTGGAGGGTGGCCTCACTGGTCAGGAGTCTCAGCATTACAGGTGGCTAGGAGAGGAATGTGTATATGTGAAGAAGCTACGATCTGGAGCAGCCCTGGACACCCAGGTGGCATAAAGCCTGTGGTCACTCCTTCTGCTGGGCTTTCATTGCACCTCTTCACCCATGCTCAAGGTTCTCTTACAATTTTTTTCCATCAAATTATAAAACTCAAGATGGCCAAAAAATAATGCTGAGCTGTTCTGCCTTCAGGGAGACACCACTGCTCCCACAGCTGCACCTCAGGTGAGCTGCTCCAGGGCCCTCGTCAGCACAGCCCCCACTGCCTGCTCTGCAAGGCCACGGCCACCTGAGAGGAGCGCTGCTCTGTGCTGCCAGAAGCCTTGGTTTACCATGTAGTTTATAATTGGTTTGGTGCCTAAGAGACGTTCATGGCTATACTCAAATGATGGAAAAGAGAAAATCACCTCTTTAGAACAGCATTTCAGCCACCACTTCTGCTGAGGATCTGTCCATCTGCTCTTTGGTCAGCGCAAAGCACTTGTGTGCCAGCTGCTGCTGTCTGGCATTCTCATTCACCATCAGCTCCCCATAGAGGTACACGCCCATGGCCTGCAGGGCAGAGGCAAGAGAGCAATAGGAAAGGGTTGTGCATATGAATGTGTGTTGAGCACAGTCTATGCTGTTTCACACAAGCGTGCTGGTCTACAAAGTACAAAAACACAAAAAAAAAACACCGTTGGGCAACTGAACTTCTGGGACCTGCAGTTTTCAGTCCTGTCTCTTTCTCTCATCAAAATCCTATAAGTCTGTCAAAAATCTTGTGATTTCAAGTGTGCCTGAATGAGGAGGTGGCATTCCCATGGTGATGATATAACACACACCATAGAAACATGCTGCCTGCCACACGTGGGACTCCTTTCAGAAAAGTGTCCCAGGAATAGCTGGCACAAGATCATTCATTCTGTCAGTCTATAAGACTGATGAAAACCACATCACAGGGGGCTGGGAAGGTGGCTCAGTGGTAGAGTGTTTGTCTTGTATGCATGAGACTCTGGGTTGGATTCCTCAGCACCACATAAGCAAAAAAAGCTGGAAATGGCGCTGTGGCTCAAGTGATAGAGTGCTAGCCTTGAGCTGAAGAGCTGGGGGACAGCGCCCAGGTCCAGAGTTCAGGTCCCACAGCTGACCAAAAAAAAAAAAAAAGAACAAAAACCACATCACAGTGGTGACCAGGCACAGTCTGATCACTTTCCCACCTCCAGCTTCAAGTGCTGCAGATATTGGCCCATAACTGTTTTGAGCACAAGGCTGCAATGGTTCACATCTGTACATTTCCAACATTTTAAAACAGCCAACAATACAGGACATGACAAAGGGACCCTTTTGGTTCTGCCTGTTTTGTTTCTAGCAGTCAGGGACGCAAAAAGTGATGTCCTCCCAAAGCTGTAGCGTGGTGATGAGGAAGAACATGGTGAATTCTGATCTTGAGGAGACCTAAAGTGACTTCTGTCTGCCTTATGCTCCTCTTAGCTCTTCTAAACATTTCTTGCTCCTTTGTGCAAATGTGACATTTCAGCTGTTGCAGTCTTCTACTTTTCTTTGTGGGAATAACCAGCCCTTCAGTAACTGTCTGCCCCCAGTCCTGAGACCATCAAAAGTCCTTTTGTTTGCCCCACCCCTACTCTCCACCCACTGAAAGCAACTCCATTCTGTCAGCCCAGAGCCTGGGCACAGAACTTAGGCAGAGGCACAGGCCCCAGGAACATAAGTCAGATGTGGAGTGCCGTATGTGCAGGTGCTATTCTGAGTGGCAACCCAAATGTGCACTATGGTGTCAGAGGTGGCCATGAAGAACATCGTCCAATGCTTTCCTGTGGGCTCCAAGGAAGGCAGCTGCTTCCTAGGAGGGCAGAAAACACGCACGATGTTGCTATCCCAACAGGGCTGGCCTGTCCTAGCTGGTAAGGATCTGACCCAAACCAGTCCAGCCAGCTGGGCTCTCCCAGGCCCACCCACAATATGCTTTCTGCCAGGTCCACTGAACTGAAAACCAGGGACACCAGCATGGTACTGCTAAGCTAACCCACTGCTAGCCCACTGCTTTCAAGGGCTACTGAGAGCTCAAAAATCAAATCAGCTCAAAAGTTTAAGGGGTACCCAGCAGTCCTTCAAAACATTTCTGAACTATTGGTTCTGTAAGAGATGTCAAGAACGTGGGTGCAACGGGCGCCAGTGGCTCATGCCTGTAATCCTAGCTATCAGGAGGTTGAGATCTGAGAATGATGGTTCAAAGCTCAGGCAGGAAAATCTGTGAGACTCTTATCTCCAGTAAACCACTAGAAAACCAGAAGTGGCGCTGTGGCTCAAGTGGTAGAGCGCTCGCCTTGAGCTGAAGAGCGCAGGGACAGTGCCAAGGCCCAGCGTTCAAGCCCCACGACCAACAACAAAAGAGAATGTGGGCTCGTGTGGCCACAAGTAGGGAAGGTAGAGAGCAGCATTTAAAGAACCCTCTCCTATTGAAGGACAGAACTCACCTGGTCCTCCTGAAGGAATCTCTCCACATGTTTGTAGGCTTTGCTGTACTTGTGCTTAATAACAAGCTCACACCACCGGTGGCGAACCTTAAGAAATGAGAGGGAGAATAAATCTGCTAAGTTCCTCCGCCTGGTAAATTGGATGACAGGCCTTTACTTTGCACACAGCTATTCTTTCAAGAACCAATGCTAACACTTTCAGCTATAAATTTCACTTTAACTTTTCAAAAGCACCACCTTCCTAAGGAGGACTGCTAACGTGGCTTTAGGGGGAAGTACAGGTTTCAGTTCGGTGTTCTGCTTGTTTATAGACATGGTTCTCCAAAGTAACAGGAAAATGTGAAGCAGGACAGGTAAGACACAGAACCCAGACCAGGCTGTGGAGTGCTTCCTGCCAGCCCAGACTACTAGATTTCCTCAGTCTGTTTGGGTCAGTGCTGCCAGCTGTAACGACAAACATGGTAAGGAGATAGATGCTGCTCTCAGAATTCCCAAGTGCCAGAGCACCCTTTCTAACATTTCAGGGAGGAGCTCAAGCAGGACACCCTTGACCTAGACAATTCCTGCTGTGTGTCTGTGTGCATATAGCATGTAAACAGACATGCTGGAAAGGAGATGCTATTCCTTTATTAAAGCTTTGCCTGTGTGAGTTTTCTAGATGGCCCTGCAAATCTAGATACCAGAGATGGGGTAGATTCCAGCCAGGGATGTGCTGGAGATGGAGGCAGACCCACCAGAGGCAAGGGCTTCTGTGGGCAGAGCTGTCTCCTGAAGGTGAGGCACATTCCTCACGAGGCACTTCCCCATGGGTTTCTGAGACCACCCCGTGCCACACTGTCCTACTGTAGCAAAGCCCTGTCAACTACCTCGGGCGAGTAGCCTGGGGTCTATCTCCATTACACCAGCCACACACATGGACAAGATCTGTGCATTGTGAAAAGCCTCACACTGGCCCTTGTTGCCTTGCCTTTGAGAAAGGGAGACAGTTGCAAACCATCTGGGGACAATAATAAAATTAAGTATTGTCAACATTTTGGCTAAGGCCACTGCATCATTACAATGACATGGCTAGATCTCTCCTTTAATATGCTGTAAACAGATTTAAGTGCAAATAATTAGGATCAAAACAGACATACTGGCAAGACTCCAGCACTGCCCTGTGCTCACAGGCTGGGCACAGGATGTACAGGAGTGTCAGCACACCTGCACAGCAATGTGAGAGGCCCAGAGAAAAGAGATGATGGCCTCGACCATCACATCTAAAGCAGGTGGGGGCTGCAAAGCCTTTTTCATTTTGAACAAAATGCGTTCCTGGACAACACATAGAAATTAACAACAGACTAAGAAGGAAAGGAGCAAACCCTAGAATAGGAGCACAAAGAACAAGGGACAAAGCTCAGGAGTCAGCTTATCAGAGAAGGCTACCAGGATATAGGTTTCCAGTGTGGAGCTCTAGTTTGACAGTCAAATGTGCAGAGCGGCAGAGAAACCAGAGAGTTCCCTGGAATTTCTGTCTCCTTCCTTTCTCTCCCAACAAATGGCTACCTCCAAGTGCCTCAGTCCCCCAGCCATGGCTGGCAGGGGTGCCTTTCTGGGTAAAGATGGTTCTCAGCCCCTCATAGTAAAGGAGCATTAGGCCAGGGCAAAATGTCACAGATGTGTGACCCTCAGTGCTACTTCTCCTGGAACCTTGGAAAGGGCCTCATTTCTCTGCACACTTTTAGTTAGGGTCATGTGGGAACTCTTAGCTTCTAAGTGCAGAGATGACCAACAGTGGTGTGATCTGACCACAGGACACTTGGACTTTTGTCATTCTAAAACTCAAAAGGCAGGGTTATTTTTTTTTAATTTATTTTGAGAAAAGAGGGGTCCTCCCCTCTCCCATGTGGTCATTTTATTTACATATATTAGGACAAGGCCCTGGGCGTGCATCAGACAGTGGTAGCTGTGCCACACTGGGGTAAAGGCCCACAACACAGCTTCATGAAAGAGGCTCTTTAACCACCAATGTGAAGTCAGCATTTCCACTTTCCTTTCTGTTAGAAATAGTTTATTGTCAGGACTAATAAGAGAACCAGTCTTCTGACCCCTAAAGGTTAAACACAGACCAACTCCCTCAGCCCCACCCCATAGAAAGCAGGAATAAACAACAAGCCTTTTCACTGGAAGTACTGAAATGTATTTCAGTACTTTAAAACAGGATGTTTGAAAGACATCATGAAGATGCTGTTCAAGGCTGAGTGCCTATCAGTCAATCCCAGGCTCCTCTTTGGGGTTTGTACTTCTCTTCCTGTTTGTCCAGGAAACAAAGAAAATCTTACGTTTCTTTTGCAAACTCTCATAGGACCCACGATGCCTAAAGTCACTCATTACCACACAAAATGGGATGATGCCTTATCACTTCTGTGGTCACACAGGGAACATCCCCTTTCTCCAGGTCAGAGACTTCAACTTGTTAAGAGGTGACACCTCACGTGGAGCAAGCTCCCTCATCGGGGATGGCAGGAAAGTGATGTTGTTGCTGGGCACTAGAGCTATACAGTACTCTGAAGAAGATCCACATGACAACAGCTGTCTGTAATATATGTGCTCTTATGTTAAATTATTAACTAATGTAAGGGAATCCATTTTTATATTTCTTCAATCAGATTAAAATAAAACAGAGCCACGTTTGCATACATCTCTGACATCACCTGGCACCTAGGGCCCGTACCTGGAAAAGAGATCTGAATTTTACCCTGGCCCATAGATAAGGCTGTGGAATGAGCCTACATGATGTTAAGGCTCAGCTCTAGTGGAACTAGTCTTGATAAAGCCCAGCCAAACTGAAATGGATGGATAAACTAGTGATATCAAACCACATTCAGCATCTGTTTCTCATTCATCACTCTACAGTTCTGTTCCCTGAATAATACACAAAATACTATAGGTCTTCCCATCCCTATCTCCACACTTAGTCCCTACTCTGCCGACAGCCACTGTTCCAGTCTATCTATATCACACACACTAGCTGACAAATACAGTACTGCTTTGCACCAATTTACACCACTCAGTCAGTGTAACTGAATGTCTTATCATTCCCTGAGTTGAGATTTCCCTAGCCTTGTAGTAATTGTCACTGAGGATTCTACTGTATCACCACAGATAAGACTTGGAAAAGCAGACACAGAAAAGAGCCTATGGTGCAATAAAGATCCACGTGCACATGTCATCTCGTGCTCTGAGGGTTCAATTCTAGGTGTGCAGTTTTGAGATCAAGCCACAGCCATGTGCAGGTCTGAGATTCCCAGCAGCAGCAGTGCACAGCCCAGGGAGACGCCAGGGAGAAGCTATGAGGAGGGCTGTGCCTACATCCCACCTGGGACTTTTCTAAACCCCTGCTCAAAAGACAAACTCACTTATTAGCCTTGTCCCAGAATCAGCCACAACCATGTGACATTCCTGTCCTATCAAGAAAGTTACTATTAGCTAGGAGCTTGCAGCTCACAACTGCAATCCTAGTACTCAGGAGGCTGAGTGCAGAAAGTGTGAAAAACTCCGTCTCAGATTAACCAGCTCAAATCAAGGTGGGGAGCATGGCTCAAATAGCAGAGTCCTAGCTGAGCAAATAGGCTGGGCAAGTACAAGGCTCTGAGTTCTTCAAACCTCAGAATTGGGGGAAAAGGCTCCAAGCTGAACTACTTAATCACAGTTTGGGAACAAAACACAAAAGAAGCCTACTCCTCTCGTTTCTAACCTTTAACTGCCTACAGGATCCTTTATATTCCTAAACCAGTCAGTATGTAAGTGCCATGACCTCACAGGCGTTTCTGTGCACTGACCATAATCATAATTAGATATGGAGGAGGGTTTTCCACATACAATTGTTCTCTCCTGGAAATAACCACTGCTGAAGCATGGCCCAAATCACCTGGACCTCCCTTCAACCCAAGGCACTTCCCAGCCCAGTGCCCAGAACTGGATCTTTCCAAAGCATGGCTTGACAAATCCTTTCTGCCAAGGGCTAGAGGTTGGGCATTTTAGCTTTTTAGCCCACCTCTCAAAGGCATTCCTAGACAATACCTAAAGGAATGGGTGTAGGTGCGGCTGTCTTTGGATAAAATGTTATTTACAAAAATAGGAAGTGGTTGTACTGGCCCAAGTTATGATGTGTTGACGAGTGTTTATCCCCCCAAACCCAACACATTGTCACTGAACTCACAGATGGAGTCCTGTGAATGAGGCTTGGGCTGGCTTTGGTATAGTCCCATAAGGAAATATAGACTGCCCCAAAGTCTGGATCTATCTTCCACTTCTGTTCTTCACTCTGTGGTCCAATTCCTTAGGCACAAGAAAACAGCTCTAGAATTCTCTAGGAAACAGTCTTTGGTGGCAGACAGGCCCAGCAGCAGTTGTTCCCAAATGTGGGTAATGCTAGTACGGAGAAAGAGTAATTTTCAAATCATTCTTTTCTAGATGCACCACAAAAATTAAGTGCTGCCTCTGTTGACTCCACCTGAGACAGTCACACTAGAACAAACAACCCCAGATCCCAAGAAAACAAGTATCTTAGTTTGTAGAAACCTTAAAATTCACAATGCTCTCTTATGCTTTGCCACAGCTTTGTGTCTACCAAGGGCCATGTATTAAGACCTGCTCCCAAGTGTGGTGCCACTGGAAGGTGGTAGTATCTTTAGGATGTAGAGTCTACAGGATGGTCTTTTTGGTATCTGTATGTCCTTGAAAGGGCTTATGGGATCCTGTCCTCTTCCTCACCAGAAGGTGGGTGGTTTTATTCTGCAAAGTGCTCTCACTACTCTGAAGTCTGTGGGGCCAACCAATAATGGTCCGGGACCTATGAAACTAAGCACAAATATTGCCTCTTTATACACTGATTATGCAGTTATCAGTTAAAGAGCAACAAAGAGCTGACAATGCATATAGCATCTCAGATTTTTTTAAAATTTTAATTGTAGTGGTTTCCATGAAACCAAACAAATAAAAACAATGTAACTCCTCTGTATGTATTCTCACAATAAAAAAAGAAAAAAACGAAACATCTTAAATAAAACGTCCAGAGAAGCATGTGAAATACCCTCATCCCAGTT